AGTTTTGGAGGATGCTGTTTTTATCTGAGTAAAAAGAGCTGAAAGAGAGAGGGGGAGAAGCACAAATTTAAACAAGTAAGCATTATTAGTATTATGAATGAATTCTTCAAATATATATATTTTAAATTTGTTACTGATTTTGATCTGCCGTTGAAAAGCATTCTTTCTTTATTTATAACTCAGGCCGAGTTTAATTTCTACAATTTAGGTTACTGATTTGATCCAACTTAAGTTGTTTTAAATTTGCTTTAAATTCTATTGGACCTTATTTCTAAAACACACAGTTGGTGTCAATTAATGTTGACATTCTAGCTAGTTTAATTAAATTCTAGTACAAGAATGGAAGAACAGTGTAAATTATGAGCAGTCCCAAAATGCTCTAATACTTGAATGTGACTATGAGACAAGAAATTTTTTACAAAACAAACACTAAACTAAAGTGTGTATGTTATTGGATTGGAGCAAGAAAGGATGCAAAAATACCACACGTCAATGAAACCATTTTTTTTTCTTTTTTAATTTAATTTATTTTATGTATATTATAAAATTTTATCCTCAATTAAAAAAAAAAAAAAATAAAATTTAATGGGCTTCAACTCAAATTTCAATTGAAAAACTCATCCGATAATTAAAAGCACCCTCGGTATCTTTAAATTTTCATTACTTAAAAAATATATAAATGGTGGAAAAGATAAAAAAGGAGGAAGACAAATATTTAATGGGTTTGGGGTGAAGGAGAAGAATAAGAAGACGATCAAAATTGAAAGCCCACTGCCCATCAAATTTATCGTTCTGTTAAAACTCATCACACAGAAAATTATTCATTCTTGAAGCTACATATATGTATATATATATATATATCCATGTGCTTTGATTGTTCTGTAATTAGGATCTCTATCTGCATTTAAAATTTCACTGAAATGATCGAAGATGCAGTAGCGATGGGTTTTCGCATTTTCTGGGTTTAATCCGCCCCTTTTTTTAGGGTTCATTGCTTTGATTTGCTGTTTAATCTCAATCTAGATTCTCTCGACACATCAATTTCTGCTAATCCCCTGTTCGATCGAATCTACCATCCATTTGTTTTAATAATCGATTTTCTATAGCAATGCTCGTTTAATAATCCACCCCTTTTTTTATATGATACTAAAAATAAATTTTACATCCAAAATATTTATATCACATCATACAACTATTCCAATTCAAAATTTTTACTATTCAAATCCCTAAACAAACAAACCCTAGTTATATATATATAAATCATTTTATTTTTAAACAAAAAAAATACATCACTTTTTGTACTAATTTACTATAAATAGCAAAGAAATAAAAAAGTAAAATAACAATAATTATATATTTTAAATGACGGAGAGAGTAGTATAATAAAAGATCTGGTTTCGTTGTAATTTGAAATAAAGTGCTAGATTTGAATTTTTTAGTAGTATTTTGATATAATATTTTATATAAAAAAAAATAATACTCATCTCATTAAAATCTATCATCACTTTCATTTTTAGTAAAAAAGTATTATTTTTCAACTTTTTCTTTACCTACAAAAGTAAAAAAGAAAATATTTTTATCTATTTTTTTTTTAAATTTGTGTTCGATCAAATGAGTATACAATTAGATGACATGACAGTGAGAGTAATATTTAATTTTTATAAACAAAAAAAAAACGTAGGAATTAAATACTGGTTTTTTTAAAAATAAAAAATAAATAAAATTAAAAACCAAATACACACTTAAGATTTTAAGCATTTCTTCCAAGGAGGAGTGTAATAGTGATTAGGTAATTTACTTTTAGGAATGCATTATTAAAATTCATAAAAACCATCAAACTTGAATGAATTGTAATGCAATTCAACATCTTCCTTGATTGAAAATAGAGAATATGATACTTTTATTTAATAAAAAGGTAGGAAATATAACAAAGAAAAAAAAATAGAATGCGACAAAAATAAAAGAATTTGATACTTAAAAAATATGGTGTGTTGTTTGGGATTTTGATTTTAAATTTGAATTTTGGATAATAAAATTTTAAATTAAAATAATTGTTTGATGTAATATAAACACGTAATATATTTAATATTCCTCCGTCCACTTACAATGTATACATTTACTTTTGGTGCAGTGTTAAAAAAATAATATTATTTTAATTATAGTAAGTAATTAAAAGTAATGTAAAGATATTTTTGCCCTTACTTATTTTTGTGTAAAAGTAACGATGTGATCCAAAGTAAGGGTATTTATGAAAAAAAAATAGTGTTTTTAACGAAATGTTTACTTTGTAATTGAACGTCCCAAAATAGAAATATTATACTTTCTAGCTGGATGGAGGGAGTATAATATAAAAAAAATAAAAACAAATTTTTATTTGATTTTTTCAGAACAATTTTTTTTTGAAGAGATAATAGGCCTAAGTGTGTTTGTTTGGGGGTTTGAATTTTAAGTTGGGATTTGAATAGTAAAAATTTTGAATTTGAATAGTTGTATGATGTGATATAAATAGGCGTTGATGTGATGTTTTGAATGTAAAATTGATTTTTAGTGTAATATAAAAAATAAAAAATATGTATTTGATTTGATATTTTTAGGGAAAAAAATGGGATGAATAGTAAAAATCTAATCCAATCGCCCAAACAAACAGACAAACTCTCCCAAACAAAGACATCTATAATAAGTATATAAAAGTCAACAATAAAGTATTATTTGATATTAAAAAAATACTAATAAATAGACCAATATAGAATATATATCGTTCCCACAATATTTATGTTTATCTTTTACATTCAAAATTTATATCTATCTCTATTTATATTATATATTTACATTCAATATTTTATATCAGCCTCTATTTATATTATATTAAATAAATACTTAATTTTAAAATTTTATTAATTAAAATTCAATAACTAAAACCAAACCCCCAAAACAAATGCACTTCAATGTGTTCTCGAATATTTTGATAATGTTACAATATAAATTTATTTTTAAATTTTGGACTTATAAATTATCCCTTGATCGAAAACTTTTTACGTGGCTCGGTTTTATATTGATAAGAACGAATGTGATACCTCTTCAATTAAATAATAATAATAAAAAATAATCGAATAATACATATGACAACATTAAGGATGACATCATCATGCGCAAAAGGAAACAGATCAATGTAGAATTTGTCTCCATCTTCATTGATTGAACGTCCCCATTACTCCTATGTCCTACTAAAATTGTATTTCCTCATTCCGGTAAGGGTCACGTGGAGATATATATATATATATATTTTAAATTTATTGTGTTTAATATAAAAAATATCTTTATATTTATATAACTTTGTGTATAAATGTCATTCTATTAGTATTACAAAGACACCAATAAAAATATTTTTATAATTTTTTTTTAATTTGTACTACGTTTTGATATAATAATTAATATTCAAATATCAACAAAAAAAATAAATGAGACCATTAGAACCGGACGAATGTATTATATATTAATACAAAAATTTAGAATAAATATAATTAATAAATAATTTAAAATTATATTAGTAAAAAAAACTATTGTATAATATAAATAATAATAGATTAAAATTAAAATAGCTAAATAATTTAATTAAATTAATAAATTATAAATTATAAAAGAAATGATTAAATTATGTAGATTGACGAAGATTAAAAAATCATAGATATTTTATATGTAAGGAGAGATTATAATTAATGATTTGGAATTTTTATATAGGAATTGTACAAAATTATATGATAATTTCAATTTGGGCCTTTCCAGCTGAAGTTTTGAGATGAGTTAGTGAAATAGTTGGAATTGGGCCTTTAGAAATGGGCCCATTTAGGCTGATCCGATCTCTCTTTAATTTAAAACTAGAGTTACATTATATTATTGTTGATGTATTTTTTCAACAAAAATAAAGTAAAATTCAAAGATATAGAAAATATCCTTAAACTTGATTAATTAGTGCCTGAGATTAGGAATCTCTAAACACTGTATGGTACAGAAAATAAACTGGAAAATAAAAGACTGAAATTTAAAGTGGTGATCCCCAAATCTGACTTTGCTTTGTTGAAGTTGATTGAAGATGCCTTTTCAGAAAATCTGAATCCTTAAATAGCCTTTGAAGAAAACGGTTTGAACCGCCGTTTGGTCGGTTACAGCAACCGCTGTCAACCGACCATCAAATTCTCCTCAATTGAAACGTGTTACAACTTCCTTCAACCTCCCCAAACCTCTCACGCCTTAAACCGTCCCAGAAATGCCATTCGCCCGACCTGCTTCTTCGCCCGACATCATTTGGGCCGACCTCCGCATCAGCCGCCCTCCGTCTTTGACCGACTTTAATTGGTCCGACCATGGACCAACCAAATGTGGTCCCGACCACGGACCAACCGACCGGCTCTATTTGCCTTATCTCTTTAGAAGGACAGACTGTCCTCTGGACAGACCTCCGCATCTGTCCGTACCTCTTCCTTGCCCGACCTTTCTCTTGACAAACCTTCGCGTCTGCCCGACTTCGTCTTTCACCCGATCTACGGTTTACCCGACTTGGGTACACCTTTTTTCAGACTCCGCCCGACCTTTCTTCCTTCCCGATCCTTGCATCTGTCCGATTGCACCCAACTTCTGGGTCATTTAACTTATATCCAGACCCGTCCAGAATCTCACTGCCATTATTTATTATTATTATTTTTTGTGCTTAACAGTAATATAAATAATTTATTAAAAATAAATAAATCTTGATAGCTGATCCTACATTTTCACTGCGCAATTCAAAATACTAAAAATAATTTTATAATATTATTTATTAATATAATTTATAGTGAGATTGAAAATGTTTATTTATGTAAATTGGGTATGACCCGACCCAATTTAGCCTTGTCTTATCTTTTGGTTGGTTTCTGATAAGGCGAAAAGACCATATTACCCATCCGTTTTGTGGGTATTTTGGTCATTACACTCAAGTTCGAAATTTGAAATTGTATTTGAGTCGAGCGTCCGATTTTCGTATTCGTGGGTGGGTACGAACAAAATTAGGGTTTTCCTGATTTGGTAGCTGCTGCTCTGCGATCCGTTTCACGGAGGAGAAAGGTCCGAGTCCGAGTCCGTTTCTCGGTTGCCATCGAGGCCGGTGTTCAGGTACTGTTTCTGTGTAATCTCTGTAGCGCCGTTGTAAATTCGTGTTATATAGTGCTCACTTGGCGGTGATGTGTTGGTTGTTCCGTAATTGCACTCTCAGATATCGATTCGCTGTTTGTATGTGTATTTTATATGCGATTGCAGCTTTTCGCTGGTATTTTTCCTGTAATTTGTGTTTGGATGTTCTCGTAGAGCTTGTGAATGAAGATTCGTGAAACATGAACCATTGGGTAATGGAGGATTTCGTTTCTTAGTTAGTGCAATCTGTTTGTAGGTTTGTTTTGGAAATGAGTAGTTGTTTAGCAGTTTTGATTTTTTTATTACTGATGCTGTCTGTAGAACATGCTTTAATATATGAATAAGGTTAATTTATGAAGCAAACATGTATGGTTAAATGTATAGCAGATGAGATTATACTTGTATATCCATTGCACATTAACTACAAATATCTCAATTATTTGCCTTAATGATTAGGTACAAAAAAGGAAATGAGCACTAACATCCATAGAACCCCGAAATCTGGGAGACAATCACTGTTCTTCCAAGATTTAGCAACACCTGTGTCGTCTCGCCGATCTGGGGGGAAATTTACATCCCCAGGTCAGGCAGCTGCTGTTTCAGCTCTGTGGCGTGAAAATTTTGCCAGCTCTGATCTTCCACCTCCGCCAGTATTCACCCTCGAAGACCGGGCGGATCATTCTCCGGAGACCGGGATTCCTGAATATCCTGCTTCTCCAGAACCCAAATCAGATCCTAGATCCCCATTTAAGACTTTAAGCAGGGAGTTTTCGACTCCTAAGAGCAGATCTGATGCCAGCACTTCGTATGCTGGAACAAGCAAGCAGCCGCAGCAGCAGAATCAGCAGAGCCCTATGGCCAGTTCTAGTTGGTGGTTGCCTGCAAAGAGTGGTGGTAGTGCAGAGCATGATGATAAAGGGAAAGGCTCTCCTGTTGAGGGGGTGGTTCAACCTGGTGCCTTGATAACGCTACCGCCACCTAGGGAGGTTGCAAGACCTGAAGTGAAGGAAAATTTGGTACCTGTAGGGAACTGGAATGAGGAGGAGTGGATTACGATCTACGGGTATGTTTAACTGTTTCTTATTCTTATTTTATCACATGTAAAGATGCTCAAGAATTTGCAATGTTGCTTATAAAATGTGAGTTAATGTCGGCAACCTGTGGATGTATACCTGAATTCATTATGTAAAGTATTTGATTTCAATGTATCTAGGGGATTTATATGATTGTATGTTGTGAAAGCCTTAAAAAATGAGAGAGTGACATATCTGGTTTGAGACTTTTCAATTGTGCATATATGTTAAATAATACAATGCGAAGATTTTCTCTTATCAGCGATTTGAATTTAGTGAGAGGACATGTGGCTTTTGTGAATAGCTGATGTTCTGGAAGCTCGTCTACTTCACGTTCTTGTTGGACATGTTTTATCAATTTATTTCTTTGCTCACACTCTCAGCATGCAATAATGGGTTTTCATTCCCATTTCGTAGAGTTTAACTATCACTATTGTGGCATCTAATCATGTTTACGTATTTGATGCTTATTTTAAATTTCATATCCAGGTTTTCGCCAGCTGATACCAATCTTGTTTTGCGAGAATTTGAGAAGTATGGACTAATTCTGAAACATGTTCCGGGACCAAGAAATGCTAATTGGATGCACATATTGTATCAGGTTTGTTACTCCTACAAACTTTGTTACTTACATTTATCTTATTAAATCTCTGCCAATGTCTTTTATAATTTATATAATTCCACTAAGAGTATTGTCATTGTACATTCTTCTTATGTCATGACCTTAATAAAATATGCAAAAGTTTAGTTAATTGCTTACACTTGTAATTTTGGACTTCTCGATAAAGACGTAAGGAGCTAAATTGATCATAAGGAGTATATGTTATGCCAAGAAGTGTTTTTTTTTTTTTTTTTGTTTATACCTACAATTACAATCTCCCATGTGATCGATTTGTTGTCTCTGCTGTGCATTTGAGTTACCTTGTTTAATATCTTCTTTCATCATCTACTACTACTACTACTACTACTAATTTATTTCTCGTTAAATTCCACTTCAACATGGTTTTAGAAATAGCTTCAACTCAATCTTCTGAAAACTAGAATGATCATGTTGTGTGTGTAGGAATTTGAAGTGCCTAAGATTTGTCAAAACAGCCGGGATAACTACCCGAGTTTATGTTCTACAACATTTGACATTCTCTGTTATAATGAGGTTTCGCGTGGAATAAGATTCTTGTTTCCTTACTTTGATGTTAATTGTCTTTGTTTCGACAGAAGAAATTTAACCTCTTTTGAAATACAATTTTTTCAATCCATTATTTGAGAGGTGTGTATCATTGTCGAAATGTCTTCTTTTGACTTTTTTATCATTCATAGAATCGATTGAATTTCTTGTGGCTGCATTGAATCCTACATCGATTACAAATGTCATTGTAACATGTTTTGCATTCTTAACCACAGAATCGAGCCGATGCGCAGAGAGCACTGAGCGCAAACGGGACGTGCATAAACGGTGTTCTCATCATTGGAGTGAAGCCGGTCGACCCGATGCAGCGCCAGGCCCTCCACGACCGACTCAACAATCAAGGCTTCATGACACTACCCCCTGCGCCCTCCAGCAGAAAACCAGAGTCGAATGGTTTCCGAGTCTCCCCTTATCCTTACAACCCCCAAAACGGCAGCTCCGGTGGTGGCGCCCGACAGTCCACCGGAACCATCGCCACGCCGGCAAAATCCGTTGTGTCCAAGGTTATGGACTTGATGTTCGGAGTCTAGCTTACAGGGTATGCGTGATTTGAACTCGACCGGTTTTGGTCATTTTTGTATGTGAAGCTTATTCAGGTGAAATCTGTTTGTATCGAAGATTAAATTTCGACTGTTGCATTACATTATAGTTATTGAGTAATAAGTTTTGAGTTTTATGCTGGCAAATCTCTTGTGAGCAGGTCCCGGGATCCGGGTGACCAATCGATGTTGTTATTCACGCTGGTTCTCGGGTCCTGGGAGTCTGCCTGGATATTTAGTTCTAGGGATGGGTACAGTATAGGAAAAATATCAGATCATTATTTAGGAATATATTTTAATTTTGTAAATACATTTAGGAACAAAACTTGGGACTTTATTTTATCGATAATAATGTGTTGAATCTTGTAAGAAATTAACAAAACGGGCAGCATCCGGCAGGACCGGAATCCATCATTCGGCGCCGCCTGATTTCTGCGAGCCGTTGCAGATGTTCTGCGACAGCGTCGTCGTCGTCTCCATTTCTGTTGTGCTTGATGTTGTCGTGCTGTCAAGGCCGCGATTCTTCTACCGAATATACTGCAAATTGAACCAATCGGAATTAAATGGAGTAATTTTCACCCTTATAAATAATAGGGACTTCTCACGTTATCTATGCTAGTCTCATCTAAAAATTTCAACCAAAATACTATTGTTTAATTGTGTTTTTTTTTTTAAGAACAAAATAGATATCATGTTAGAGATGTTATTTAAATCAAAATTTAAATAAAAAAACTCAAACTAATGCGAAACAAACCCAATTATTCTTTTGGTCCTACATAAGAAAACTTCTTATGATTTGGATTCAAAATTAAGTAGAAAAGGGAATAAGAAAAAGAAGTGGAAATCCAACAAAAACTAACCTTGGGAAAAAGAGTAAAGGCTAGAATAAAATAAATTTCGTTTTTAAGATTGATAAATAAAAGTTTCCTAATATACAGAATTTGCTTTATGCTCCTATTTAAGATAAAATTCAGTTTCGTTATCAGCTCTAACAAAAAAATAATAAGATTAGTATTATAATTATAATAATAAGGGAAAAAGAAAATTACTAAATGGACTCACTTCCGGGGTTGGATGAGGTGTCAATGTCATTCCTCTTATTGATTTCTTCCTCGTACTTCTTCAACCTCTCTTCCCACATCTCCTGCAAATCCCAATTCGATGATGATAATGATAATAATAATAACAATAATAATTAGAGACCTTGTACTTGAGTTCGGCTCGGTGCATGAAATAGAATCCGAGGATCCCACCGAGAATCGTTCCTGAAATGATTCTTACATACCCTCGTCTTGCTGCCGTCATCGCCGATCAATTTAGGGTTTGATTGATTCCAAATGAAATGGAAGGATGAAGAAAGGAAGGCTGGTTGAGAGTGCCGCTGTATTAATTAGGGCTTACTTATTTACCTTTTGTTTATTAATTTAGCCCAATGGGCTTCGATTCTTCTGGGCCTCATTACATAAATAAAAATAATAATAGTAATAGTAATAGAACAGAGGAGAAGAGAGCGAGTGACGATGACACTGAAATTGATAAGATGGATAAGAACCACACATGCATGTTCTTGATTGAATAATAAAATGGATGATGTTCTTCAACATATATGTATTAATACTACATTTCTTCAGTAGAATTAAATAAATGGGAATGGGAATGGGAACAATGCTGCTCCATCACCCCATTAACTACTGCTGCTGCTGCTACTACTACTCATCATCTTCATCATTTTCAAAACTCCACAAGTTCAATTCTAGTTTGAGTTTGAGTTCCAATTCCAAGAAAGCATGGAGAATTAGAGCAGCAGCAGGTCATGAAGCAGCAGACAAACAAAGTGCTGATGGTGCTGTTAATTTTGCCTTTGTTAATTATAATTAATTTTTTACCTATAGGCAGTCAGCTGAATGAATGAATGAATTGGATTATTTATTTATAAATAAATAAATGATTTGAATATTGCAATGCAGTCAGTATTGTTCCCAGATGGAACGCCGGACGTGCAATACAGAAGGGCCTGCGGAGGCCAGAAGCTTAGGGACTTCATGCTCGATAACAATCTTGAATTGTACGGTCCTTATGTATGTGGGCTATTTGAGTTCTGGAACTGGTGGAGGCGTTTGGCGAGGCGGTTGATGTAACCGACCAGACGACGTTTCAAAACGTTTCGTCTTGGGCGGTTGACGGCGGTTGCTGGCGACGGTGCGAAAACGTCTTTTCAAGCCAGTACAAAGGTAGGTGTTACGTACGAAATTTAGAATTAGGTTAAAAGCCCAAGGTAAAAAGAAGAATGGGCCTGGCAATAGGGTTAATTGAACTGGATGAAAGACACCGTGAGGAAATCAAGGAAAATAAATTTATTTCTAAGGAAAATACAAGACGGAAAGTCCTCAGGACGGAAGGACCTCAGGTCGGGAGGTCCTCAGGACGGAAGGACCTCAGGTCGGGAGGTTCTCAAGACGGAAGGACCTCAAATCGGCAGGTCCTCAAGACGGAAGGACCTCAGGTCGGTAGGTCTTCAAGACGGAAAGACCTCAAGACGGAAGGTCTTCAAGTCGGAAGGTCTTCAAGTCGGTAGGTCCTCAAGACGGAAGGACCTCAGGTCGGTAGGTCTTCAGGACGGAAAGACCTCAGGTCGGAAGGTCTTTAGGTCGGGAGGCCCTCAAGACGGAAAGACCTCAGGTCGGAAGGTTTTCAGGTCGGGAGGCCATCAAGACGGAAAGACCTCAGGTCGGAAGGTTTTCAGGTCGGGAAGTCCTCAAGACGGAAAGTGGTCAGGTCCGGAAGTCCTCAGGTCGGGAGTTCCTCAAGACGGGAAGTGGTCAGGTCGGGAAGTCCTTAGGTCGGGAAGTCCTCAAGACGGAAAGTGGTCAGGTCCGCAAGTCCTCAGGTCGGGAGTTCCTCAAGACGGGAAGTGGTCAGGTCGGGAAGTCCTCAAGACAGAAAGTGGTCAGGACGGGAAGTTCTCAGGTCGGGATGTCCTCAAGACAGAAAGTGGTCAGGACGGGAAGTCCTTAGGTCGGGAAATCCTCAAGACGGAAAGTGGTCAGGTCCGGAAGTCCTCAGGTCGGGACGGCCTCAGGTCGGGAGTTCCTCAAGACGGGAAGTGGTCAGGTCGGGAAGTTCTCAAGACGGAAAGTGGTCAGGTCCGGAAGTCCTCTGGTCGGGAAGGCCTCAGGTCGGGAGTTCCTCAAGACGGGAAGTGGTCAGGACGGGAAGTCCTTAGGTCGGGAGTTCCTCAAGACGGGAAGTGGTCAGGACGGGAAGTCCTCAGGTCGGGACTTCCTCAAGACGGAAAGTGGTCAGGTCGGGAAGTCCTCAAGACGGGAAGAGGTCAGGACGGGAAGTCCTTAGGTCGGGAGTTCCTCAAGACGGGAAGTGGTCAGGACGGGAAGTCCTTAGGTCGGGAGGTCCTCAAGACAGAAAGTGGTCAGGACGGGAAGTCCTTAGGTCGGGATGTCCTCAAGACGGAAAGTGGTCAGGTCGGGAAGTCCTCAGGTCGGGATTTCCTCAAGACGGAAAGTGGTCAGGTCGGGAGGTCCTCAAGACCGAGAGAAAAAAAAAAAGAAAATTTATTTACATAAATAATTTTGGAAACTATTTTCAAAATATTTTAAAGCCGAGAAAACTTTGTTTACAAGTACTTTAGCACTATTTTTTAATATTTAAAAAATTATAAATCATCAAATATATACTAAATTATAAATCATCAAATACGTACTCCATTTTTTATTTTATTTTATTTATTTCTTTTTATCATTTTCGAAACTATCAAAAACTTAAGACATGCGTACCTAATACCATAAAATCGGGCTTGTTAGCTCCAACAATTTGTTAGTGTTGCGTGTAAGAATTCGGGTGTGTTTGTTTGGGGAATTAAATTTTAAATACACTGTTGATTCCATTTTTTTTTTTCCAAAAATATCAAATCAAAATATCTATTTTTTATTTTTTATATTATACTAAAAATCAATTTTACATTCAAAATATCACATCAACACCTATTTATATCACATCATATAACTATTCAAATTAAAAAAATTTACTATTCAAATCCCAACTCAAAATTCAAACCCCAAGAGCCTCACACATTTGCTAGGACAATTTCTACTAATCATTAATTTCTTCAAACCATCAAATTTTATTTTTTATAGCACAAAATGTTAGTTTAATTAATTATTTAATCATATTTTGAATTTTGATTATTTTGAATTATCTTATATAATTAAACTAACCTTAAATTGTGGCCCACTTTTCTCCCATTAAGTCTATATCACATTCAAAATATACGTGAGAAGTGGCAGAAAAATCGTGATGGGCGGTTTCTCTTTTTTATTATAAATACTCTCACATACGGGTTACTAAACCTACTCTCAGAAATTAGAATACACCATCGCTATTTGAGAGCCAGGGTTTGGCAACGTCATCCTAGGGTTCTAAGATCTGCCAACATCTTCCCAATGGTTCCAAAGTTGGACAACACCATCTTCCTGCAGTTCCAACCCACCGTGTCCTTGAAGCAGAAGATTTCAATAACAGATTTATATTTTAGCAATGGCTGAGGTTTGTTTAAATTCCGCTTCCGCTAACATATTTGATTATATGTTTATTTTCTAACACAAAAATCTTGTGTTTTATTTATTACGTAAAATTGTGTTAATGAAACACCCTTTTTCGATATTTAGTTTTAAATAAAGACCTAAATTATGCAAATTTTATACAAATAAAAAACGCAAAATATTTTAAATAATTTTTTTGAATAAAATACATAAATAAATAATTGATTAATCTTTCATTTTATAGAAATCTTGTTTAGAACTAAATATCAATTTTTGACAAATAGGGTGTTTCGTACAAAATTTAAAATAAATAAAACACGGCGTATTGCATGAACACAAGGGGTTTCACGCAATAAAGCATTTTTACTAAAACACATTGAGATGTTATATAATTTACTCTTTAAAACTTTTACTATTTAAATTCCAATTCAAAATCCAAACCCCCAAAAGCATAAAATATTATATACTATTTTCAGAATTTTTTAAAATTCCAAAACTTGCAAAATTCTATCTAAATAGTGTTTACTTTGAGTCATTCGATTCGATTCAATTCAAAAACAACAATGCACCACAACTTTGAATGAAACTAAATGTAATGTTCCGTAAACCAAGAACAAAGAAACACAAGGTCGAAAGGGCAAAAGATATCAAGACAGCCATTTCAAAATCAAACAAGTTCATAGTATCTATCTTCCAAGAGATTATGATAGTTCAGGATATCTTCACAATTGGTATTTTATTGGACATAAATAAAAAGACAACAAATCCAAATGCCCTGAATGGCCAGCCATCTGAGACAGCTAGAGTTACCTCTGGGCTCCATTTTAGTGTCCTCCATACTTCTGATAAAACAGAGTAAAGCAGAATGAGATATTGATCCACAGAGATATAATACGAACACAAATGTCAATCAATATAACTACCATTTATTTATTTCTCTAAAGACCTATGCAGGATTAAGTTTACCTAAAATTTCCACATGAAGGAAAGACATTAGCTATCAAAAAACTGATACATTTTCGAGTAAATGTATTCTCCATGGCAAGGATAGAGGACAACTACATCGTGCATTTCTAAGGGATTCTTCTTTCCCAACAGCATAATCTTAGGACATTAAGTTTGGCGTTGTCGAGAAGGATAAGGAACAAGATAAATCAATCCTTTTGTAAGAGGGGCAAAGTTCCTCATTACTTGTATCTTTAGAAACTAACCCAATGCTATAAATATTATACTATGTTTCGCTAGCCAAGTTCAGCAATCCCACAAATAAAAACAATTGCTGGTCGAACTTGTAACTGATTCACCCATTGCTATTTGCTACTTTTAAATTCATATTTCACACCAAAGCAGACCGTGACTGTTCCATATTTCGTAGACCTCACTTTTGGCTACTAATGCAGACTAGCTCCCCCATGGTTGACACTCTATGGTTTCCATGTTGACATATGTCACAATTGCATTCACAGTACATAATACACATAAACTCACTAAGATTCTCTTAATACAGGTGGTTAAGATTTCACATGCATAAAATTGAACAAGAAAGAGACAGTTCCATAGATACAATAAAAATTAACTCCATACCATTATCAAAATATATAACACATTACCTAATGGTGATCATCATGACCCTCCCATGGATGCCTCCAGCCCTACAAGAAAGAAACTACCTTGAAAGATCTCTCAAAAAAGCTATTCAAATGTACTATACAAGTATATGAAACAGATATCATTGCTACAATACATAAGGCAATAATTCATTGTAACTCACCAACACCACAGGACCATCCTGCTTCGCACGGTAGAGAACCCAAAACCTGAAAAAAAATGTTAAGAATACAACTTAAAGGAAACTACTGTAATGAGTGGAAATTGGTAACAGGATGCTTAAAATGGTTTCAATCAAGGAAGAGAAACCTTAATTAAAGAAAGGGCACCATTTCCAGCGCATGTTTCAAGATATAGCAAGATCATGTACAACAAATTTTTATTAACCTAAAGGATACGAAAAAAATCACACGGATTGTCAGATAGAAAATAATTGACCTGTAAACTTAAGCCCTTTCAATTTTGTAGGATTGCAAATACTAATCTTCTAATTGCCATCTGATGCATAGTTTCTTCTATGAGAAAGAAATGGATCAACTCCACATTTATCAAAACTTAATGGTTCTCTATACCGTGAAGGTTTCAAAGAAACCAAAAAACCTAGGAAAAATTAAGTAATAAACGATCATACAGAAATGATATTTTTAAGAACAAAACAACGGATTTCTGCACCCAAGAGGGCAAGAACAATGATCATATACCCAAATTGAAGTCTCATATAATTGATAAATGGACTACATTCACTGCCATCTTGATTCAGCCCAATTCCCTAAAAAAAGAACATTTCACGACGCGGAACAAAAATCCCCCCACAAAAAACGAAAAATTTTCAACTTAAAAGATTCGAACTACGAAAACAATAATTCACGAAGACGAGATTTTTCAGAAACTAGCAAACTAAAACGATACATCCAAACTAATCACATTAAAAAGTCATCAATGGAGTCTCTCTATTCTAATTCTAACCAATCTCATATGCGCATAAGAGTTTACCACATGACCGCGCAGAGGCCGTTGCCAGTGATTGTGTGCCAGCGCTTGGGCTGATGCAAGGTCACGCCCTTGTACGTGATGCCATGGCCGGATCCCCCTCCCATCTTCCTCCTTGTTACTCTTTCAACTGGCGAATCGATCCTAGGGTTCAACTGCTGGAAAAACAAAAACCACCTTCAAGGGCCGAAGTGGAAATATAACTATGTTCTGAAGTTTAGAGAAATAGTAATTAACTCCTTATTTACTACTTAATTATAGATCCAACCCCTATACTTTTGCTCTATTTGGGTCTTTTTTATATTGTAGATATATAGTGATAAAATGCCAACTTTATAATAGTTTTATGTAAAAAAAAAAAACTGGCAAAAATCTATTGATATTATTAAGCACTAAAAATTGCAATGACCTTTTTGTAAAAAGTCTTTTGTATAAGTATGGAAGTTTTTGTCAAAAATAAATAAATAATATAATAACTTTTATGTTGATAAAAAAAAAAAGAAAATTTTTTATTTACACTAGATGTAGGTGAGGCACAGTTAAAGCCATCACTTTTGTTTTTTGTTTTTTTTTTTTTGTTTTTTTGTTTTTTTTTATCTCTTTCAAATGAAGCTATTGTACATTTTCCCTTTTATCTTAAAAAAATATATATATATTTTACTCAGACACATGAGTTTACAAAGCTTTTTCTAATTGGCCATTGCAATTGCTCTAATAGCCTACTTATAGAAGGCTTGAATGTTAAAATTGAGGTCTTTCCTAAAAATAGTTCATATAATATTCTTTTTTTAAAAGTTTGATTCATACTTTGTATGGTTTGAACGATTCCATCAACTCATCTAACATAAGAGTTGACAGATCTCAAGATTCGTCAATAGTAGCCACCAAATGGTTGAATTTCGATTATATGTTCCGTAGAATCTTGATGACGACCATTTGATCAGTTATTGTATTTCTATAGAATCTCATTTGTGCTACAGTTGTGCCTGTTTTTTTGCAAAAAATCTCACAAATTTAGTTTCATTCATGATGGAAGGCTAAAAAATGTGTCTCGTCTCCTCTATTTACACATGCAGATAAGTTTCACTTAACTGTCAACATGCGAGCACAAAACGATAAATCATTTGCAGCATTTCTTGAGGAAGTAGGGAACAACTCTTGTGTAAATAACAACAAAGGAGAGATTCAGATCCCAACAACTTCATTGATTACCTCTGAAAATAATGACTTGTTGCAACTAATTGACAAGATCTACCCACATAATTTACTCCATCCAAGTTCCTCTGCTGCATTAATTGGTAGATCTATATTGACACCAACCAACGAGACAGTTGGTACTATTAACAATCAAATAATTGAAAGCATGTTTGGAGAACCAATCGTACTAATTGCAAGAGATGTAACTAAAGATCCATCACAACAAGCACATTATGAAGATTACCTAAATACTTTGACACCTAATGGTATGCCACCTCATAGATTAGTTTTGAAGACAGGTGCACCAATAATGCTATTGCGTAACTTAGACCCCACAAATGGCCTTTCAAATGGTACACGGCTTGTTTGCAAGCAAATTACACGCAATCTCTTACAAGCAGAGATTGCAACTGGCCCGCAAAAAGGAACTTTATGCTTCATACCACGAATACCTTTAAAGCCTAACAATATACATGAATGCTCTGTTGAGTTCATACGTACTCAATTTCCAGTGAAGTTGTGCTTCTCAATGACCATTAACAAATCACAAGGGCAGACATTAGACGTTGTTGGAGTGTACATGAAACAACCGGTATTTATGCATGGCCAACTATATGTTGCACTATCACGAGCAAAATCTTTTGACTCTTTGCATGTCCTCATTCCTTCAGACATCAACACTGGAATGCATTGTTCTTGGACGAGAAACATAGTTTACAAGAAGCTTTTACAATTGGCTGGCATTAATATACCTCCACTTCCAAATCCCACATAGTCCGCATCCATAAGAGCCCACCTGCTACCCTTACTCCCACATTATTGTCAACAATCTATTTCTTTTTTATTCAGTTTTTGCCTTTTTTGGTCACATCTCATGCCGTCTTTAGTTTGTTTCGGGTGATTTTTCATGGATTATATTTTTATGGAGGCTTAAATCAAACATGGTAAGTTCTCTAATATTTTTATGATACACTTAATTTTGTTAGTGTGAGTTACAGTTATGCTGCATTTATTTATTCATGAATCTTCTATTTCTGTCAGAATTTTCAGTCCTGCTTTTTCCTACTGTTTGATGCAAGCTGATTTTTAGCTATTTATATTGTTATGCATCTATGGTTTTTTCATGTAGCATATATGTAAACTGACTTTCTATCGTCTGCACCTTATGTACGTATATTATCTCTTATAGATTGCTCTCCTATTTGTTGTCAGATGTCAACACTTTGAGTTTGTTATACCTCTGACAAAATATGTGAAGGCTATATACCACACCAAAGTAGGAGATGGCATGCGCTTTCAGAAGCTATTTGAAACTAAAGAATCCAGTGTTCATAACTACGTTGGACATTCATTGCAGTTTATATTATATTATTGCGTTTCAAATTAGGTAATGATCTTCTATTTAATTCTTCAGCTTTGATCCAAACATTTTCGAACATCTAAGATCAGAATTGAGCATCGAAGATCCTGCTAAGATATAGTATGAACCGGTAATTTATCAAAGAAATCAACAATAGTTTCAATCTAAATTCGTATTGTAGTGGTGATCAAACTTGTCATTACATGACATTTTTGATCGTGATTCCAATTTCCCTTCGTAACGAGATTGTTCCCCTTAATGTTAACAATCAATAATTTATGCACTATGTTTGCTTTCAAATGACTATACAGTAAACATTTTTTTTTATATTGTGTTATGTATTGATTTATTTAGCAATATGGAAATTATATTTCAATCTTCCTAAGCTAATCTTCTTTGTAAATGTCCTGCTTATCACCTGCTATTGGACAATGTTGTACAGGAAATGCTGGGAATGAATCAATCCATATACACAGCCATAGATGTTTCAAAGTCCATTAATGGTTTAGAGATCAAGTATGTGGATATATTACCATTGTTGTTTGCCAGCACTAATCTCTAGATTAATGGGAGATAACTGCCTACAGTACCGGATTTCAGGCAGAAGATTCTTGCTGCCAACAGCATACTCTTTGCTAAACTGGAATACATATACTTAACGACAGAAAACTTTTATTTACACATATGATGCATATGCTGTTCCATTACAGCCTTACATTAATTTAGTCCATACTTATTTGGTATACAACAAAGTCTAATGTGGTCTTAATGCCTAGAACCATTTCATCTCAACATGATTTTTGTATGATAGAATAAAATCGATTCTACAGCTGCAACTCCAAAAATTCTGGGGGCAAGATTTTTAGTGCAACATCACTTTCATAATGATGAAACATGCATTATCTCATCAGCTTCATCCTTGTTAAGATTAATATTGAATGATTACAACTGATATCTTTGTTTTTATATACTGTGTTATCACCTCTGCGTCTATGTGTTTTTTATCCCCGCTCAGTGTGTCGAAGTTTTTTAACGATTTTTATGCAACAATTTCGTCATTTTTGAACAAGTAGAATCCGACTGAAGAAAAGATTATAACCTGTTATGTTTTTCAACATAGAAAGTTTCGCTCGTGTGCCTATTCCCTAATGCAAGGTATGTTGCCCTGAATAAGTCTTAAAGTAGATAATCACCACTTTCGTATTCAATAAGCAAGCATTTACCACTCAATACCCTAACAAATACTAATAACAGAAAACATTTACAATCCAAAACCAAAATCAATTGACCAACTTAGAGATAATAATTAACCATAACAAAATAATAACGTGATAATAATTAAAATAACTACCATTTCAAGCCGTGCTATGCACGAGTGCATACATAATTAAAATATTTAGAAATGAATTAATCAACTATTAATCATAACTATTTCTAAAATAGTATTATATCATACATGTATATTTAAATGTTAATTTTTATTTGACAATAATTAAAATAATTAACTATATTTATTATTCAACTATTGAAATAAAATAAAAATAAAAATATAAAATACAAAATTAATTTTAATTGAATCTATCATTGAAATTTGTACTCAATTAATAAATATATAAATTTAATTTCAAACAATATATAATGAACAATATTATATTATCCAATATCTTTATATAAGATAATATAAATAAAAAGTAAAATAAAAATTATAGAGAAGAAATATAATTATTATTGAGCATAAAAAAAAAAATAATAATAGTAATAAATAATGGCAGTAGGATGCTGGATCGGTCAGGATATAAACCGAATGGCCCAAAAGTCCGGAAAAAAAATGTCGAACAGGCGCAGATGTCTATGAAGAGGAAGGGCGGGCAAGGAAGAAGTATAGACAGACGCAGAGGTTTGTGTAGAGGACAGTCTGCCCATCTAAGGAGATAGGACAAATAAAGCTGGTCGGTTGCTCAGTAGCCGGGACCGCAGTCGGTTGCCCTGTGTAGGGGCCCACAGTTCCTTGGTCAGCCAACACTTCTCGTGTCCACACGTGTCCTCATCCGACCACATTGTCATTCTCACTTTCTTCAATATCTAACTCTCTGGACTGACCGCAGACTTTCCGCTTTATTGATCCAACTGCAAGCCAACTGACTTACAAACTCCCCGACCTCAGTAATTCCCGACCTGATGACCTTCACACGTACGGACTTACCGTCCCGACGACCGTCGGACCGCAGGATTTCCCGACCTGAGCACTTACGGAGTTGCAGAGCTCAGGCCTGCGTATCTCCAGACCGGATGACCTCCCGACCGGAAGACATTCCGACCTCCAAACGTCCCGACGTGGGGATTTTCCGACCTCCGAACTTCCCGACTTCCGGACCTCCCGACGTGAGGACCTCTCGACCTGAGGACCTGTCCGACCCGCAATTCCATTAGAAATATATCTACTATTCCTGAGTTTCCAACAGGGCCCCTCCGCCAGTTTCATCAAGTGTATTCCTACACACATTTTTCTTTTTATCCTAAGCTTTTTAACATAAATAAAATTTTCATATGTAACAATTTTAGTATTCTACATTACTTAGAAAGCCCTAATCTCAGGGAGATATTTCTCTATTTTCCAATTTTACTTTTTGTTGTTGAAAAACTGCGTCAACAGTTATATTATTTAATATACCTGTTGATGCGTTTTTTTTTAACAATAAAAAATAAAATCCGAAAATAGGAAGTTATCTTCGAATTTGATATAATTACTGCCTGAGATTAGGAATCTCTAAACACTGTAGGATACATAAATAAAATAAGAAAAATTAAAACTATAGACTGGAAAATAAAGTGGTGATCCCCAAAAGCAATTCTCTTGAATATGATGTCGTTTGAAGATGCCCTCTCCTTACCGTACAGAATATTTAAATAACCCCTTGAAGATACGGTTCGAACCGCTATCCGGTCGGTTACCATAACCGCTATTAACTCCCCAAAAAATCCTCTTCTATCGACACATACGAGAACCATCACGTCACGTCCGATTTTAAAAACCGCTCACCAGTCGAAACTACCCCCCTCTGCCAGAAATTGCATTTTACCCGACCTATAGGATAACTATTTTTGAATACCTAACCTTCCTATGACCGACCCTTTGGAATTTGTCCCGACTAAGTCCGACTTCTATATCCAATCTATTTGGTCCTGACCGGGTCCAATCTTATCAACCGTCCTACTTTCTTCAATCTGACCCTCGGATTCCGACCTGATTACGTCCGATTTAGACGTGCGAACTATTTGGTCCCGAGCGAGTCCAATCTCCTCATTCGCCGGACCTAGGGGATTCACACGACCGGTTTTGGACAAATTCAAAACTCATCCAACCTGGTTACTGCAAATTATATTCGGACTTTCAAAAGCCCATTGGACATTTCGGATGACCTAACTTGCCAGGCCCATTTCCTAAAACCTATCCATTATTTTCTGCTCAACAAATTGCCTCCTCCCGCCGAAACGTCGCTCCTCGAACTACGGAAGACGTGACGTTTTAGGGTTACAATATGATCATTGCACTGCGCTGCGTCAAATCAAACTTCTCAAACTTACACATTCACAATTCTGAAACCCTTTCTGCTCTCGTATAACTCCCTCCTTCGTTTTCTCCTTCAACCTTTCCTTACCCTCGCGTAAATGGCTAACCAATACGTTCCCGCACTCCCTTTTGACGGAACCGAACCCTCAATACCCCTTGTATCTTCCAAAGTTCTTACCCCTACAATCCGCCCTTACTGCACTACCACTCCCGATGCTGAGCGTATGACTTCAGTCATTGTTCAAGTTTCTCCCATTACCGTGAACAATGAAGCGTTCAAACCGGAACGCCTTCTAGATAGCATCAAGACTCACTTGACCGACCCAAAAGATGCTTACCGGAAATGGTACGCGAGGCTCCTTCCACATTTTGAAAATCAATGGAAAGCCCAAGGGATCGATAAAGCTATTCTCCTTTCGACGCAACCCCTCTACCTCCATGACAAGGTTTTGATGGCCATGGCGGCTTTTTGGCATTCGCAAACAGGTGCCTTTTTCCTCCCTTCAGGTCCAATGGGTCCAACCCTAATGGATGTAGCAGTGATCGCACATTTGCCGATCACTGGAGAGGACCCCGTTCTGGTTTCTCTCGGGAATCAAGAACTTCCCCCCAACCATCAAGGTTGGGCTCTGGCCAAACTGCCTGAAAGAGAAAGAGGGTGGACATACTTTGTCAATAAATATCAGGGTAGGGAGGATACCCCTGTTTCCGAGTTGGAACATACTGCTTTCCTCCTCTTCTGGCTCTGCAGGTATATTTTCTTCCCCATTTTTAAACCTCTTTGATATACACAAAGTTTGAATGTTGAGCTTACATTTCTTTCTTCTTATCTTTCACAGATATATCATTCTCTCCCCTTCTAAACTTGTCCTTTCAACTCATATTGACCTAGCCATTTATCTAGCATGTGGTCATTTCTGTTCTTTAGGTACCTTATTTCTAGCCAACCTCTTTGAAGGTTTATCCCGAGTAAGTTCCCGTCTTACAGATATCAAAAAGGCGGATACTGCAGCCTCAGGACCATTTTGGTTCCTGGAACTGTGGTTCCGTCTATACTTCCCCTCTGCATTTTTTGGTCGCCTCCCAATTTCTCCTAACCCTTATAGGTCTATTGGCTATGCCTTAGCCAGATTAACCCCGAACTCTTCCTGTCTAAAATCCTCCGACTCTATAATAACCCAAATTTTGACCGAAGATCGGAACAATTCCCGTTTTTTTGTATATACAACCTTAATACAATATTCGACCGATCTTTTCTTCCTTTATCCCGACCCTACCTATCCTTTAACTCGGCCAGATCCTCTCCCTCACCCGACCTTTATTTTTTCCTGGGACGCCGCAATAAAACCCCGATCTTTGTTTTCTAGCAGACGGTCGGATAAGAAGAATCGTAGAACATTTTTCACTTACAATTACCAACCTCAATTTTTGTCGAGGCAATTTGGTTGCTGCCAGGGCATACCAGGGCCATTAGCCAGTCCTCACCTCATATTTCAAAGCCCCGAGGGTCTGGTGATTCCCGAACTCATCCCGACCTATATTTCTCAACTCACCACCTACATCACCTCGAATTCATATCTCCCGTTCTGCCCAAAACCTTCGACAACCGAAGATTTCCCTTCCTGGTGGTCGACCACCTGGTCTTCACTTGCCCCTTCGACTGACCAATTGGTCGGGAGACTTGCTCCACCCCCAGCTCTGGCTCTTGGCTCCGCCCGACTGGCAGTCAGAGGAAGGAAAAGGCCAGCCCCTACGCCAGGTGGGTCGGGAGCAAAAAGACAAAAAGCAAAGGCCACTCCTGCTATCGATAGGCAGGCCATCGAGGAATATCTGGCTTCTCTGCCAATAGATACTAGCGGGATGCAAAAGTATCTAAGGCAACAATTTGGTAAGTTTTTGTTCCTTTCCTTATGTTATTTTCATGCTGCCCGTTTGTAACTCTAATATGTCTATTTCAGAAGATCCTTCAATGCTCCCGACCACTGGCCCTACCACGTCTCAACCGACCCACCAACAATCGCCCGAACCACAAGTTCCCATCAATTTATCTTCATCCCGATCGACAGCCGTCCCGATCATAGAACAATCATCTATGGTCCGGACCACCGATCGACTAGCCATAGTCCCGATTACCACACAACCGACCCACAGACAATCAGAGGTAAAAGATAGTTTCTGACATTCCTTAGAGACCAACAATATATTAATTTTAAACAACTTCGAACCTTTTATTGTAGGCACACCGACCAGGCGAATCGATGGGCAGGGTACCTCCTCCCCCAACGTCGGATATCGTTGCGGTGATTCCCGACCAACTTGTTGTCCTCCCCGACCAAGTTGCGGAACCTCAACAAGTAAGCGCTAAACCTTCCTTCAACAACATCCTCCTGATAAAACTTATGATACCTAAAACATATTTGGTCCAGGCTCCTATTGAAGATGTGGTAGTGCCCGACCCCGACCAGGTCGTGGCTTTACCCGACCCGCTTGTTCAGCAAGTTGATGAGGTTCCTATTGTTGGTCCCGAACCAGTCCAACCCGAACCAGTCCAACCACCCGATGAAGTAGAGGAAATTTCCTCCTCAAGATCGGGTGAAGCTTCTGTTAATTTTGCCCCGCTGAATCCGGTTGGTACCCTTTCTCATCCATTTTCGGATTTTATTTTTGCCCATCCAACGGTGACGAAAACTTTTATCTTCTGTTCAGGGTATGGATTTAGCAGCCGCCCAACAACTTCCACCAGGGGATGAATCAGTTGCTGGTCCGATTACCCGACCAGTCAACCCCTCAAATTTCCAACTTATGGCCCCTTCCGAGGCTACAGCTGCCCTGGATCAAGTAACCTTCCGCCGTTATTCCTTAAACAATTTTGCCATGTCTTTTAGCTTGCTAATCTCATTCTGGTTCAGGCTGCTCAGGAGATGAACATTTTGACCCGAATAAATCTCCCGACACACGTCAGAACCATTGTGGAACGATGCGCCAATTTGGATTATGCCGACTTAGAACTGGCTGACCTTTCGGCGTTAGTCCAAGTCGCAATATCCCTATTGGTTCAACCTGCCCTGGAGTCGGGAGCTTCGCCAGTTCTCGATCGGATGATGGCCAGGATCACTGAACTTCAAGCTGAACTTCCTCTGATCCGACCCCCATTATCCGAAGCGACCTCCTCTCGTCCGGCAGCAGATCCTAATAATATCGAAGCAGATTTGAAGAAGGCTAACCAAGATCTTAGCGAGGCTAGGGCCCGACTAGACGAGCTCCGGCAGGAGAGACAAACATTAGCTACTGAAATCGCTCAAAAGACTGAAGAACTACGACGACTTCAAGAACGATTGGAAGCCATAGATGATAGCATACAAGAGGGAAGTCGTCTGGTTGAAACACATTGCCTTAACCAAGCCAGTCTTTGCGACCAACTTCAGGCAGCGATTCAAACGAGACTCGTCCAGAGACACCAAGAAGCATACCAACGTCGTCGGGCCATCAAGTCAGAACTCAAATGGGCCGATCTAAAAACTGCTTTACGGGCGCTTCTCTCCTTGTAATACAAATATATTCACCTAACTTAAAAACTAGAATACTTATTTAAACGAATATTATATTTATCTTTCCTTAATGTTTCCCCTCATATTTATAATGTAGGAATTCCCAGTCTGAAAGTATCGACATTTGAACTTATTACTTTACGGTCACAAGTTTACAATCACTGTTCATAGTATACATATTTATATATATTTATTAATTGTATGGTACTTGAATTTAATATATTTGAATATGCGGGCCCAATGCATGCCTAAGTTATGCCCTAATTAATATATTCCATAATTAACTATAGTTGAAGAATGTTAATTTGGTGATTGTTGATTGATGGGATTAATTAATAATATTAGTATTTTATTTTACATAGCCATGATGTTTGTTTAAAGGGGAGAAAGAAACTTTTAATTGATTTACTTTTATTTTTCTTTCAAAAATAAATAAAATAGAAGATGATTAAATTTTGTCCCAATGGAGTTTAATGAGTTATTAGGTGACATGTCCCTTGGAATTTGGATGAATAAAATAATAATTGATAAAATATATATATATATTTTTAAAAATAAAAAGAAAGAGTAGAAATTCAGCATGCATTAATTTGGAACTGTAGAGTTAGCCTTATATTACATCTTTAATTAATACTTCCTCTTCAACTAAAAATAGTCCATTTGTGTTCGTCAAACTACAGACCAACGGACCAACTTCCTTTTGTCAGACTCCAAACCAACTGACTTGCCTATCCGACTGCGTAACATTCCATCTCCATCTTCGCCAGACTTCCTCTTTCAACCGACCTCTGAACCGTTTAGCTTATATTCAGACCCATCCAAAACCGTACTACGGTTATTAATTATTATTATTATTATTTTTTCCGCCCAACAAGAATAATAATAATAATAATAATGGTTCAAATAGAAAAAAAGTAATGCATTTATGATAATGAATACCCAAAAAAACAGACTCTCATACAACCAACCATTTAAATAAACACACAATTTACAAAAATACTAACTGCAATCACATCCCTTACCTTGAATTCAGCTACAAAGTGAATCTACATACGTAACTATATCTACCAGAGCCAATCTACCTGACAAAAATAAACACATAGAGCCTGCCACCCACTAACCTCTATCACTTCTTACATGAAAAAACGTGTCACTCACTAACTTCTATCACTTCTTACATAAAAGTTACCACTCTAACACAGCAACCACTCTAACAAAGCAACACGCCAACAACATCCATTTAATTATAAAGACAAGATTCACTTTCAATACGTGCTACATTCTTCCTTAGCTTTTCTTTTTCACACATTTCATCACTCTTCCATCAATTCTCCTTACTGCTAATCACTACAAGCCAATGGCCAACCACATAACACCCATAACTGATTTAACCATGGAAAATAGAAACTGGACAGTCCGTGCGTTACTCGTAGAGATGTCCGCTATCAGAACAGCCAAGACCAGTGGAAAGCCCTACAGACGATACGTCTTTGTTGACACACAGGTATTCAAACAATCCTGCTTATAAAAATAATTGATTGAATTTATGTACTACTATCTAAATTTTACATTTAATATACTTTATTTAATATGGAATAAAATTTAAAATTAATCAAATTTACTATGCTTATAATTTACTATTAGTTATTTTATAGTAGAAGAAAATTGATACATTTATTTTCTACATTACTAATTAGTTTTTTCGGGGTTAACTATCTTATTTACTTATTTTGTAGGGCACCAAACTCATGACGTGTGCCTTTTCTGCGGACATGGAAGCATATGATCATTGTTTAAAACTCTTTAAGACCTACGAGATATTTGCTAAACAAGGCAAAGAGTACAAGACGGATCTACCAAACTTCAACTCTCAAATCCAGCTCTATCTCAACAAACACTGCAGCATCATTGTAATGCCCCGGAATGTATAAAATAATATTATTATAGCAAATAAATATTTGACAATAGTAATGGAATCAAGAAATTAATATTTTGGGATAAATTATATTCCAATTTTGTATATTAGTTATAATTAAATAGACTGTTAAATGGATAAATATCGATAAAATTAGAAATAAATATAAATATAAAATATAATATATAATTTAATAATATAATATAATAAATAAATAAAGAAGATAAAGATGTTAATGTTAATAATAATATAATATAATATAATATAATATAATATAATAATAATAATATAATATATATGTGTATATATATTATACATATATATATATATAAACAAACAAACCTTACCTCGAAACGAAGGAACGCAGAAGACGAAACGCGAAGGAGAAGAAGAAAGGAGAAAAAAAAAAAGGAAGAAAAAGATTTAGCCGTCCGATTCCAATTCCGACTTGGGTATGGTATTCCTTGCTATTCGTAGAGTCCGATTATAAATTTTAATACGAATTTTGATATTGGAGTATTAAATTAGAAATTCTTCAAAAATTCAAAATTGGCTATTTAGCTATTTAATCGATGAATTTCTTTAGCTAATAGCCTATTCGTAGCGCCGACATTATATTTTGAGAATTTCGTACCAATCCAAGTCGAATAAAAAACGGCAGTATATCGCACCTGCCTGCTTGTTCATACCTTTGCGTATTTTTATTTAATAATCGGGCAATATAAATATTATGAGGTAGAAGGATTTTATAGCTAGAATATCATATTCTACTAAATATAAAAGTTTGGAGCCCGACGAGTTAATTATAGAAATTAGCTTTTGAATAAGCAGGTAGCTCCTGAGAATAAGCATAAAGCTCATCTGATTTGAGTAAATAATGGAACAGGTGTACGTTGGAGGAGATTTGGGTGAAGTTATAAAAATCCAGAAAGTATCGGTAGGAGGTAAGCAGTAGGGAATTAAATCTAATTTTAAGAAATTAGGTATTTATGTTGCATGTGATTCTGATTCTGATATTGATATGATATTATGTGGAATCATTTGGTCAGTGCATCTATATATGTATATATGTGTGTGTATATGCATGTGTGAAACTTCGTTTTACGATATTTGATATACGTATTTGATCGTGTTGGTGAATTTATGAAAAGGAGGATAGGTGGGCCGTCTCACCAGCCCTTTTCATTAAATTCACTTATTGACATGCTGCACACATCGCACGATTTATCGGATATGTTTTATGGATCTATCGTTTAGTCGCCGTGTGCGGTAGTGCTAGGCGAGGGCATCACCTGGGGTTAGGATATTCGGCCCCGATGTACCGTAACACTTTGGCGATAGTGGACGATAGTAGTCGGACAACTGGGTGACTTAGTCGCACGGTCATTCAGGGATTAGACCCATTGCAGTTGAGACGTATTTGGTCTAATCATTCGTGTTCGGTGTTGTTCCACTCATTGGAGTAGCTACTAGTGAGGTCTACCGGTAGTTTAGGATCATATGCCAAACTCCAAACGCGATCCCGTTAGGGCGTGCGAGGAGGAGTAGAGTTTCCGGGTTTCCTTCGGGTGATTCCAGGTTGCACGGATTCTACTACGTTACACGGGGTAGGGCTAGACAGGAGGGTCCTATCTTCGCTATCACAGACTATGGGGTGTCTTGTGGTTAATGGCGACAACGCTCGGCTATCCATGTATTGATTGCGGGAGTCGTATGGTGGGTATATGGGAGTGACCGGGTGACCGTTATATTATTATGGGTTTACCAGGTCCTTCCTTGAGCCGAGGATTTTCCGGCTATTTATTGATGATAGTCTAGTGAGCTGTTATTATGGAGCCGAGGTTATTCCGGCTGCTCACTTTGACATATGTATATGGGTATATGTGCATGAGTTGTCGATTTTGACATTATTGTTACATTATTTCAGTATGGGCATGGCATGGCATTTATTTTGCAAATGACGGAAATTAAACTATATTTTCGAGCATGACATGGCATATTTTATGTTAGTTCTTAAAATGGATTTAATTCTAGACTGCTTTTAAGAAAAAATATTTGATTCAGGTACGCATGGCACCTCCGGGACAGGGGACGTCTCGGGAGATAGAAAGACGGGCTGAATGAGTGAACTGCATCTGATGTATTATATGTAAATTCTAACTAGAAAAACCTCCCGTTTTGGGAGTATGTTTTTGTAAATATTTATAAACTTGTTTTTTTGGAAATAATAAAATGCTTATATAATTAATTTTAGCCTTAACACTGTGTTGTGGGGCCCGAAGTAGGAGGTGACGACCTCATGATGCAGTGTGGCGGTAGCATTTCCAGTATGAGCCAACTGGGGGTGTTACAATCATCCCTGTTGAATCTGATCCCATATCTTCTGTAACTGGAAAGCCATCTTTCAAAAAGCTCTCATGCATTGTTGATTGCCTAGCAACAAATGAGTACATCGGTATAACTCCTATTATGTTTATGCTTTAATTCATTTGCTTGTCCATATTTTTGCATTTATACCTAATATATGATACATATCAAACAGATGTGGTCGGTGTACTGATAGATGTTGCAGAACAAAAGCAAAGAAACAAACGTCAACAACCGACCTCTTCCAACATTATAGGAGATCGTGTTCAAGAGATTGTAATCGTAACTGAGGAGTAAGCATAGATTCAAGTACAGTTATTTTGGTATCATTATATTTTTATCACCTTTTTCACATCAGTGTATGTATTCATCTTTAATCACAATTTATTTCTTCTAAAAGAAGTTATGTCAATAATTATGCCTGTCAACTATATTTTTAAATAAATATACTAAATTTTTATCAGCTTCCATTTCTATTCGACATCTTTTAATAGTACACTAAATTTACCAAATTAAAGTAGCATATGTTCTTCACACAGTTTTCTCCATTAATTTTCATCATAATAGATTGCTACCGACAAGACTGACCTTATGGAATGAATTGGTGGACGCTGAAGGAAAATACTTCACATCCATTGTGAAGGAAAGACCTATCATTGCGGCCCTCCACCTGAAAGCAACACTATATGCAGGTAGTTTATGCATCAACCGTATTTGACTGAACACATATAAATTATTGTCAATACTTGTATCGTAGTCCACCTAATGACCATTTCACTTCATTTGATTCTATATTCGTATGTGAAGGAATTTCGTTGTCTGCAATTTCCATGGCAAATTTTATTGTTGATCCTCCATATCCTGAAGCTGACAATCTATTGAGCTGGTATTCTTTTCTATATCAAATCAATATTTTATATTTTTCATATCACAACACTACACTCCCATTGAAAATCAATTACAAATTTCATTTTAATTCAAAACACTTTACATCACAGGAAACTCAATAATAAGGTATGCATTGATGAACTCGTAATCAAAAAACCATACTTCAACACAGCCGAAGGAAGCCCGCTAGCTGTAGTAACTCTCTCAACAATTGCAACCATGTCACAATCTACTCGCGTGAGTTATTTATAATGTATATTTGTATATATACAAATAAAACATAATAAAGTAATCAAAAACTTGCCTGATATAGCAAGGTGAGTACAAAATCAAGGGATGTTTGTCAATCAAAGTGGATAAGAAAGTGCAACTCCACTACAACGCCTGCGATAAGTGTTACACATCAACTCCAGCACCAACAGCACGGCAGTTTTTTTGTTTAAGGTGCAAATCTGTCCAATCGTCAGAGCAAAAGTAAGAAAGACTACTCATTCTACTTTTTACACATTTAAAATTTGATATATATTTATATACACGTAACAGTACACATATACAAACAAGTCAATTCTGCGCTTACAGATTGTTGATCAGACAGGATCAATTACCTGCGTTGTTTATGACAATATAGCGCAACAAATTCTGAACTTTGACATACCAGAGTCAAATGAACTAGGACAACAGGTAAAACTTTAAATATTTCATCAAAGTACTATACTGTCTCATTATATATATATTACACAGGAAATCATTTCACTATGCAATCTGCGCAATCAAGAACTTGAAAACCAATCATACCTCTTTCACATAAAGAAAAAGGCCGCCGCACCATCCCAAACAGAAACACATACTTACACACTTATGTCTGCTTCCAAAGAAAACAAAGGTACATTACATTATCATGAAAACAACTATGACTATCATAGGGTGTAATCATATACCACTCATTTTATATAACAAATAAAATTCATGTACAGATAAGGAAATTGCTGCCGAAGAAACATTGTCAAAGAACCACCCTATTGTACCCAAACACACTGGGATAACACCTGAAATGCAGGAGAAGGCAACCTGCACAACTGCTACCTTAGAATCATCTGTTCCTGGTAAGAACAACAATATATCATCCTAACAATATAAAATAATAAACATAAGTCCAATTTCATAGTTTCAACTATACTTATACAAAAAACATTATTTAGGTAAATATGCAAAGAACTTGCTTCCACTGTTCAATGAGTTGGAATCTATCAATGATCAGAAATCAAAGGATCAAGCATCAACGGTCAAGAATTCTGTCGCTCCACCGAAAGAATCCAAAAAATAGTTGTCAAGCTTTTCTACAACATCTTCTGTTTTGTACTACATCCAACTACTAAACTACCTACCTTTTTGTAATATTACTATCCGATGTGTACATACAACATTTTGAATATCTATCGGCTACATATATTTATCAAATTTCTTATTACTATAAATTCATAATTCGATTGTGTTGATGTATTTTTTCAACAAACAAAAAATAAAATTCAAAGATATGGAAATATCCTTAAATTTGATTAATTATATTAGGAATCTCTAAACACTGTAAGGTACATAAGTGTTAATGTATTTTTTCAACAAACAAAAGGTAAAATCCGAAAATAGGACCAAAAGACAAAAAAAAGACTCCTTCGCCGCCCCCACCAAGAGACCAAACTACTGTTCACTTAGTGGGCACCCGACTTATCTTGTTCTGACTACGTACCAACCGACTTGCTTATCAGATCCCATCCCATCCGACCCGCTTACCCGATTGCTAACTAACCGACCTGCCTGTCCAACATGCTTACCAACCGACTTTCAGACTTTCCGATATATAGACCATCCGACCCGCCAACCGACCGACCTCACTATACAACCGCAAACCGTCCGACCTACAAACTTTCCGACCTATGGACCATCCGACCCCCTAACCAACCGACCTGACTATCCGACCGCAGACCTTCCCACTTGCCGAACCTACCGAGGACCAACCGACTTGACTATCCCACAGCGGACCAACCGACCTGAACGCAAAATTTACTTCTTTTCCACCTGACTTCGTGCATAACTTCCTCTAAGATCCTGCTACCCTTATTTTTATTATTATTTTTTGTGCATAATAGATTGCATTACAGAATAGTCGCGCGGTATACCGCGCAAAAGCGGGTTCTAGTATATATATATATATATATATAGAACGAGTAAGTTTTGTTATAGAATTCCCGGGAAATCAATAAGAGGCAAACAATGACACAAAAATTTGATAATTTAGTTCAATCATAATGATCTATGTTTGGGGACGTTGTCAAGTTAAGAATTTTACTATAGAGTACGCAGACACATATTAAAGTGAGAATACATGGATATTTATATCCCGAGTCTATATCAATAATATTCAAATCATATCTCTAAATTTAGGATATAATATCCAAATCATATCCATGGATTTTATGATATAATCAGCTTTTTTCCAGACAATCTCCCACTTGAAGACTAATTGCATCTTTCACTTCAATATTTTACTTCATTGGCAATTACAGCGCCAAGTCTCCTTCTTCACTCATCGGGGTCAATTGAGGTTGAACATAAACACAACCTCAATTCATCTAAGGTCACCACCTTAGGTTGTCTTCCGAGATTGTTCATAAATCTGCTAACTAAGTCCATTGCATGTGCTTTCCACCTCCTAAAGGTATCAAAAGCATCATGTTTACGCTTAAAGAAATATTATCATACTTCCTTCATAGCGTCGTCAATGAACACGGTGTATTACTGTGAGCCTCCAAGGGTCGATACTGGAACTGGTCTCCACAAGTCCGTTCAGACCAATTCCAACTTTTCATTTTCCAGGTCTCTCACACCCTTTGAGAATGCCACATTTCGTCACTTCCCAAAGAACCAGTCCTCGTATACTTCAATATTGGCGGACTTGAGATCTGACACTCTTCCCTTGAAATGAGCTCCCCTATCCCCTTCTCGCTCATGTGTTCGAAATGAGAATGCCATAAATTTGTGTCATCATTTATGGTCAGGGAACTGATTCCGTCTTGTATGTTTTTCGCCATGCAGAGAGTTCCATCTTTTCTCTCTTGGGCCACCACAATGGATCCCTGGGTTACCTTCCACGACTTAATTTCAAAAACTGTCGAGTAACCTACCTCATCCAATTGTTCCAAAGAAATCAGATTCCATTTCAAACCCGAGACATGCCTCACGTCATTCAGTCTCCACTCCCCACCATTTGGTGTTCAGATTCGAACCATCCGTTTACCTACAATTTTCTGTGTCTCATCATCTGCAAGATAGACAACACCAAGATTACTTGTGGTATATGATTCCATGATTCTTGAACCACTTCGTGAGTGGAATGACGCTTTTGAGACCAAGATCCATGACTCCATTGGACTGATGATACTCAGAATCAGCGCATCGGATATCTCCTCCATTGCGTTTGCCGAACCCTAATCCTTCTCCGGCGCCCCGCACTGTGGTTTCAAGTGCCTCTTGCAGTTCCAACATACCACCTGACTTGCATCTTCCTTGTCCTTGTTCTTTGGCTTCGACTTTGACCACTCTTGATCTTGACCCTTTTCCTTCACCTCAGATCTACCTCTATTTTCGGCACTAAGGGCAAATCCATATCCAAATTCAATATTCTTACTCGAATTTCTCCGGATCTCTTTGCTCAAGATTAGATCTTTGACTACATCAAACTTCATCTTCTTCTTCCTCAAAGAAGCCGCACTCAAGCCTGTTACTACCGAATCCCAACTATCTGGCAAAGACAATAGAAAAATTACGACTTTGATCTCTGAATCAAATTCAAGATTCACCAAGCGCAATTGCGCATTGGTCAAGTTGAATTCATTCAGATGCACAACAACATGAGTCTCTTCAACCATCTTTAGGTTGAATAGTTTTCGCATCAGATAAACCTTTTTTGCAGCACACAATTGTTCGTACATATCCGACATGATTCTTAAAATCTCCAGCGTCGGTTCTGCATGAATCGTGTGAAACCAGACGTTCTCCGAAAGAGTTAGTTGAACCGCACTCATCGTCTTCGTGTCGATCTTCTTGTATTCGACTTCATCCATGTCTTCGGGTTTCTCCTTCAATGTTGCATCTATATCTTTACTATACAGGTAATCTTCTATCTGCATCTTCCAAAAGTTGAAGTTCATTCCATCGAATACTTTGACAGCGGGACGATCACCCATCTTGACTCCCACAAACGAACCAAAGGCACTTGATATGAGAGCACATTGGATATCTCCTCCGTTGCGTTTGCCGAAACCCTTATCCTTCCATGTCCACCTTGCGCCACCTATCACAAAAGGACCCGCTGTCTGACCTACCATAACTGTCGGGACCAACCCCATACCACTAGGAAACTTTCGACAAAAGGTACCTCCGCAGGTTACAAGGGATTTCCACAATCACAACTCATGTCCGATGTCTCCCAATCTACCCTACCAACGAACTAGGCTCTGATATCACTTGTTATAGAATTTCCAAGAAATCAAGAAGATGCAAACAAGGATACAAAGACACAAGAATTTGGTAACCCAGTTCGATCATAATGATCTACGTTTGAGGGCGTTGTCAAGCCATAAATTTTACTATAGAGTACGCAAACGCATGTTAAAGTGAGAATACATAGATATATATCTATAGCCTAAGTCTATGTCAATAATATCCAAATTATATTCCTAGATTTTATAATATAATCAGGTTTCACATCCCAACAAGTTTATATTACTCCCTCCGTCTCATCTATCATGTACATATTGTCTTTTATGTTCATCCCACCCATATCTCATGTCACTTTATTTTCTTGAAAATTGATTACAAACCTTAATCTCATTTTATATTTTCTAATTTTTTTGTAATTTTAATTAAACTAATCAGTTATCTTAATCTTAATCTATAATTATTTATATTATAAGATAACTATTTTCACTAATACATTTTTAATTATATACTAATTATACTTATTCTAAATTCTTGTGTGTACAGTAACACGGACATGCAATGTGGGACGGAGGGAGTATTATTTAAAATAAAATAAAAAAATATTTTATTGACGATCTAAATAGGTTTACATAATGACCTATTTATAGGCTTTAGAAAAGTGATTAGTCATCACTTAGAATAACACAACAATGCTAATTTGAATACATTCGCCTCGATACGTGGTAAATTGCATGTTTACAATTACATAAACAAATACACCTAATAATAATGATGACTCGTTATATTGCGATGAGTCATAATAGTTTTGTTCTAAAATTTTATTTACTTCATTATGCACTAATTTCTTTATTTTACTTTTTATTCTTATTAATGATTTTTTTTTTTTTTTCCTTCTTATTCATCTACAATTATTATAATATTTTTATATAAATTATTAAAGGTCGTGATTAATTAAAGTAGTGTTGAATTACAAGTTTCAACCTACCATCCACTCACTTTCTTATATTAACTTTAAGATAAAATATTTTTTTTAGTCCAGTAATTAGCCATTATTACAATTATTATTGTAAGTAGAGTTTGTTTTGAATAATTTCGTAAGTAAATGTTTTTTACATATTTAGTTTTTCAGGGCTGGAGTTGTCTGTGTGCCACCTGCGTTGCATCAAAGTAGGGTTGTAAACGAATTGAATCAAGTCGAATATAATATTACAATATTCGATTCGATTCGAAAAAAATATTTGACTATTCAATTCGATATTCGATTCGTTTCAAATCTTAAAATGATATTCGTATTCGATTCTAAATAGTTTTTAAATTATTCGATTCAATTAGAATATTCAATTCGATTTCAATATTATACAAATATTTTATTCAAGATGTGATTCATTTTTGTTTTATCCAGCTTTGCTGTAGACACGAAAATTTAAAAGATGTATAATTAATAAATAATTAAAAATATATTAATAAAAATAATTATCGTATAATAAAAATAATTATAGATTAAAATTAAGATAATTAGTTAGTCTAACTAAACTTAAAAAAATTATAAATTTAAAATAAGATTTAAAGTATACAATTATTTTCAAAAAAAAGTGACAAAAATGAAAAAATTGACATAGTAAATGGAACTATCATTGTATAAGTATAGTTTTAATTATATTATATTTATTTATGTAAAATTTAACAATATTGTTAGTAATCAATTTAGTTTAATTTATTACTATTGGGAAATACATATGTATATTATATTTTATACTATCTATATCTTTTTTATTATCGAATCGAACATTTACAAATAACGAATCGGATATTAAAATTTGATATTTGTATTTGATTCATATTCAAATCGAATATTTTTATTCAAATCAAATATTTTATTCGAATTTGAAAGATAAAATTTCGAATCGAACAAAATTATTTGATTCATTTACAACCATATGCCAGAAGACACATGTCCGTCGAATAAACATCGTTTTTTCAAAAATACATTAGTTTAAAAAAAAATATATATATATATATTTTTAATACATATTTAAAAAGTAAAAAATAAATTTTATAACCAAGTATTTAAAAAATAAAAAATAAAAATATTTTTAAAATTATAAAAAAAAAAAAAAATTGGGCAAAATAACAAAAAATTACCTGAATTTGCTGAAAACCCAATTTGATCTTAAAATTACATAAAACCTACTGTGGTTTCTAACATATTTCACATTCGCCCATCTTTTCTAAATTGGACTAATCGTGTTAATTTTGTACTTATTTAACTGTTATACTCTTGCTGTCTTTTACTTTTTACTCGCTTATTTTAAATTTGACTAATTTTTATTTTATCTTTTATCATACATACATACACACATTCACATGGATATTACACACACATTAACACAGACATACACACACGCAGCTCACCTACTCTCTTCCTCCTCCTCTTCCTTCCTTTTTTTCTCTATTTTTTTCTTTTACTTTTGTTTCTTTTTTTTTTTTTTACACATAAACACACACACATCCACATATATTCTTCCTCTTTCTTTTTCTTTTTTTCCATTTTTTTCACCTCTATTTTTAAAAAAAATTTGTTTCAATTTAGGAGATTGATTATCGATTATATTTATTAGATTCATATATCGAATGACTAAATCGTAGAATCTGATTGTTTTTTTACTTATTCGAATTCAATGAAAACCCTTACCAATTTCAATTTTGAGGTTTTGAAGTTTAACACAAATTTTGAGAAAAATATGATTGATTCATACATAATATCATTGTCCGGTTCTAAATAAGATTTTACTAAGTTCACGCACATAATCGCTGTAAAAACTATTGAAAATGTGTTCTTAATAAGGTTTTTATTTCATTTGATGTTTTTTATTTTTAAGTTGAATTTATGTTTCAAATGTTCGAGTCTCATGATGTGCTTTGATTTAAATTTTTGTTCAAATTTCTTCTATTATGTGAATGGGATGAGCTCGAATAGAGGAATAAAAGAAGGGAAAAAAAAGAAAAGTACATATAATAAAATCAGAAGATCATTTTAGTAACTTCATATATATTTATCACATTTTTTTTTTTTATCAAAAATTGTATTTGAGGCGCATAAATTTTTTTGATGTTTTAGAACTAGATGAAATTTTTAACAAATTCAACAAACCACATGAGAGTTTTATTCTATTACGCCAAAAAAATATTTTTACTTTCTATAAATACATCAAATTAAACAAAATAAATTTTTTTAAAAATAATAAATTTTCAACGTGATCGTCAAGTGGCGTTTATTCCGAAGGTGCACGGTCATAAATCTAACCCCTACACCACCAAGTCATTCCTTACGGGACAATATAAAAATATTTTTTATGTTAGATATAATGGATAAAATATAAATGTAACTTCTAAAAACAAACGGAAGAAGTATATATTCTTATATTTTTATCAGCTCATCGATAATTCAATATAAAATATTTATATTTTCTATATTACAACACAATTATCCGTAACTTTAACATAAAAAAACAGATCCATAAAAAAACAAAAAGCGAACAAACCCAATCATGGCGTTAAAAAAACAAAACCACAGTGACAATCAATCAGCAAAGTATAATTTCATAAATATATATTAAAAAAAAAAAAAAAAAAAAAAAGAAAGAAGAAGCCAATCATGTCGTTTAAAAGGTAAAGGGCAAAATCATACAACAAAATCAAGATTTAATACACTGATCATATAACTATACTGTGCCTGAAAAATAAAATTTCAGCATATGATCCTCGACCATGAATCACAGCCATTCAATTTAACCCCAAAAATAGTACAATTGCCAACACGAATAAATAATTTATCATCCCAGAAATTACCATCCCAAAATTTTGCACAACATCCAAACTATAACTTAAGAGAACAAAGCAAAAACGAATGCCATTAATTCGACATCGGTACCGAAAAAATCGAAAATTCGAAAAGCCAAAGAGCAAATGCCGACAACAACACAACAGCAACCTCACAGAAAATGTCACATATGAACATTCAAATTGTTAGCAGATTAACTTACCCGTTTCCAGTCCTCTTAATTTGCTTTCGATTTTGGAGGAGACTTCTTTTTTGGCAACCTCCTCGGCATTGAGTTCTTCATGCCAATGAAGAAAAGCAGCGCCCCGAACAAGGCCATGTTCTAACCAAAACATGAAATGTATGTCTGTAACTGTAAGTAACCATAGGTTTTTCAATACCGAATTATTACAACAGCCCGATTCTAAATTAGGCGCAAACCTGTGTGAACTGGAGAAAGAGTTGGGCGAATTCCTTTTTATCAGCATCGTAGTTGTAGAAATCGTACAAGATAAGCACGGCAATTGCTTGATGTAGGAGCTGTATGGGAAGAGCAAGTAGAATTCGTTGTGAAGGAATCATTTATGTCGAGTAGAGGAGAGAAACGAAGGTGGTGTAGTGTTTACCAGTAAAAAAGCTCCAAAAGAGCTCCCGAGGACAAAAAGCAAGCTTCCAAGAGACTTCATGACGATGGCTCCAAGTATTAAATGATTCATCTGAAACAATAAATAATTTCCAAGGTATCGTGAGCTAAATTGTGGTACTTGAATTCGGTATTTAACAAAGGCGAACTGAGAATTCGCTCTTTACTTCAACACGTGGCAGCTCGAATCCAGTGTGAATCGCGACATTCTTTGTGAAAGCGTTGAATTTTGGCTTTAAATGCTTTGCCGCAGGCCCACCATCATCACCGAATTCGTTGAACCTGTAAGGCATTGAAGTTGGATTGTGATAGAATGTCTCATGACAGAGATCTATCAATGCTAATCACATGTTTGGCTGAATAATAGGAGATGCACAGTTAATTAAAATCGAGCAAACAAATTAACTTAAAAAGGTTGGATAAACAATCAATCAAATAGTGATCTGAAATAATTATTTAGGCATTAAACCTATTACACAAAAACTCAGGAAACAAAAGCGGTGGCAAGAAACCATAAAATATAAAGTAGGCAGATTGAAACGTGCTTGTTGATAATGCCAGTAATAAGGTTTCAATCCACATAACTCAAAGAGTGATGGCTATAAGGCCATGTTTGTTTCCAAAACTTGAATCCACATATCAATGAAGACAAAATGATTATAGAATATCCAATTTTCTGTTATATACTTATATCGGAATAATAACAGAAATTGTATCTATATAATAAGTAAATATCGAGCTGATCTAAATGTAACCAATCTTTAACTCTTTTAACTTAAAATAAATCAGATAGCAATGGCAAAAGGGAAAAAGAAAAAAAAAACAGGGGGATACAAATTAAGAAACATTAGAGAAATTAATAAACTTCAGGGATATATATAGCTACGTGTGAATGAATTGTATCAGTTACTTGCAAAACAATGTTCAAGACACCTGTAATGCAATTTTATAACTTCAATGAAGATTTCCATCAAGTTCATATATGCTGCAGTTTTAGAGTTAACTAGTTTAAAAACAACAACGCACGAAACCTACTGATCTAATGAAACATGGTGACTTGCAGAATTAATGGTTAGATTCCTTCAGTTCATCTTATTTCATCTACATATACACCTTAGACCACCACGGTTGGAACTGCTATGGACGGGATTTCCGCGTCAAAACAAGCCAATAAGCTCCAATCACAGAAAGTCAAGCAGATCGGCGTCATGCATCAACCAAACACAAACCTTAAACTAAATAATCACATAATGCCGACAATCACCGGACGATTTCACATCATGAGTAAATCTAACTGCACATTCTCTTCATACCGCACAAAACTCACACGAACAAACCATCTCAAACAACAACTCCACATAGAAACAAACATTCGCAAAACAAAAATACAGATCAACCAAAACGCGCACAAAACCAAAAAAAATTAATAATAATATAGATCTGACAGAACGAATAGTAAAAACAGAAGCATTACTCTTGGTACGCGGAGAGAATAAACACGGAGACGAACAGCAGCCTTCCGAGGAACGACATGAACGCCATTTCCGCTCCTCTAGCTGGATTTTGAGACGGCGCACGACAGCGATTCAGAGAACACCGCCGAGAAGAGAAATCCTAGGCGCCTCGGAATTCCACAACGACTTCCACAGACGACTGCGAGAGACGAACTGCAGATTTATTTCCCAATTTTATAATATTACCGTCAAACAGCACAAACAGAGTTGCTTTATTTCCCTTACGCTTCTCGTGTTGTACGCTGCGCTTTAGTGTTGTACGTCTGGGGTTCAATGCGCCAACGGGCGGCGATCTACAAATGTCGGCGATAGGATATCTTCAGTTGTGGAATTAATGCGCATTAATGGTTGTACGCTGCGCTACACCGCCAGTACGCGGGACGGGGCGGCAAGCGCGTTCAAAATTTTCACGAAGGCTGTGAAAATTTTAGAGCCGTTGGATGGCGCTAGATCTACGGTCAGGCTGCGGAGATGATTTTTACGCTTTGAATTACAGGATGGACCACAAGTCCACGTTCCTCAGCGTACACGTGGACTTGGACACGTCCCGTTAGCCAATCATATTCAGTCTTCCTATCTAAGAGTGTTGGTCAGGTTAAAAAACATATAATGCGGACCTAATTTATAAGCCTGAAAAAAAAAAAATAATTACTTTAAAAGTTGTAGCTTGATTTTTAGGGTGTGGTTGTTTGGAGGATTGGAATTAAGTTCAACTATTCATCAAATTTTTTTTTTCAAAAATATCAAATCAAATATATATTTTTTATTTTTTATTATATTATATTAAAAATTAATTTTACATTCAAAACATCACATCAATACCTATTTATATCACATAATACAATTATTCTTAATTTCTAATTCATTTTTCTTGTCAATTCCTATTTATATAATATTTTTATTTAGTTTCCTATTTATTTCACATCACTCTCTATTTGTAATTATAATATATTTTTACTTATTTTACCTTTTAAATAATTTTTTATTTATATTTTTATCCACCAAATATAATTCAAAATCCTTAGGTAAATAATATTTAATTATATTATTTGTTTATTTATGGAACAAATTTATTTATTTTATATAAATAATTTTTTTATATAGAATATATTTACTTATGGCTTAATAATTTTTGCAGAATTTGTTACAATAAATTAATTTTTATAATAGAAAAATATTTTTTTAAATAAAAATTCATTATTTTCAGTTTATTTATTATATTATTCATATTTATATTTAATTGAGATCAATATTTTTCTTATAAATATTTTATATAATTATAATGTAAGAGTTACGAGTACTTTTGCATTATATATTTTATTATTATTATTATTATTATTATTATTGTCAATTATTATTTTTGTTGTTGTAATCTTTTATTTTATATTTAAATTAATAAAAAGTAGAAATAAATTAAAAAATTACAGTGTAGTTGAAAAAAAAAAGAAAAATGATAAAGAAATTAAATGAGGGTATTATAGAGTTTTTACATTAATAAGGAGTGAAAAAGAATAAATTTGTAAAAATATGAAGTAAAGAAGATAAAATTAATGTATAATGAGCAAATAAAAATATGAATATATAATTAGGGAGATATATAGAAGTTGCCCTTAAAAGATTACATACTTACTCTCTCCGTCCCAAAAGTATAATCTTATTGTGTTGGACACGAGATTTAAGGAATATTAATATTATATTGGTAGTTGGTAAAAAAATAAAGATAAATGATTTTTTTGCCATTGTGAGTATATTAGTGTAAAAAATAGTGTCAATTGTGTATAATAATAAAAAAGTAGAAATAGTTTTACGGTGATATGACTATTTATGAAAATGAAACTATTGTTTTGGGACAAACAAAAATGGTAAACAAGACTATTGTATTGAGACGAATGGAGTATTAGAGTCACTCAAAATTAATACTATAATCGATATAAATTTAATACGAATAATTAGGTTGAGTCAAGAATTTCAACTAATTATATATATATATAAGATAACACAAATACAATACGATAATAAACGGATCGAGTTAGGGTTAAGATTTCAACTCAAATAGAAAGGCTAAATTACACAAAATTTATATGTGGTTTCACAAAATTGAGCAGAACTCCGTACTTTCAAAATTACGTCAAACTCCCTCATGGTTTCATAAACTATGCGTCTAACCTTTCGGTCGTCCTTATTTAATTGACCTACATCCGTTCAAAATAAATTTCAGAATACTAATTTCTAAATTCCTGAAATTATAAATATATTCAGTTTTCTTATATTTAGCCTAAAAAAATAGTAAGTTTTTTTAAAAAAAAATCAGAGAAAAATAACTATTTTTTAGTATATTTATTATATTTCTGAGATTAAATAATAAGAATAATGAGTATTTTTATAATTTCAAGGGTTTAGAAATGAAAATTTTGAAATTCATTCGTAGTTTGAGCGTGTGTAGGTTAAATATCGTTAAATAAGAATGACCGAGGAAATTTGATGTAGAATTTATGAAATAACGAGTAAACTTGACGCAGTTTTGAAAATATAGGAATTTTGCGCAGCTTTGTGAAATCACTTGTGGATTTTATACATTTTAGCTAAATAGAAATATGTAAACTTAGAAATGAACAGAATGAAATATTATTTTTTTACTAACAAATTTTATGTTTATTTTGACGGGTTTGAAAAATTTAGTTTGAATTTAATATATAAAATAATGTATGATAGAATATTTTGTAAGATGATTTTTTTTTTTTTTTTGAAAAATACAGAATTCAAATAGGAAAAATGTGAGATTTGGAGGGAAAAACATAACCCAAATAAGGCTAAAATAAAAAAAAAAAATGATAAATAAAAAATTATAAAGAAAAGTGAAAGAATTGATAAAAAGAAATAATGAAGTAAACATAAAATTAGTACTCCAGCATTATTCTTTATTGAAGTACACAAAATAAAATTGTAAGTTGAATGAATAATTTTATTATAAATAGAGTATTTATAATTAGCTGATAATAATAAAAAAATATTTTTTTTTTATTTTTTCATTTTAGTAAATAGAGTATTTATAATTAGCTGATAATTTCATGACAAAATATTATTTTTTTTATTTTAGTCTGTCTCGTAACAAAGTATTCATTTTTTTAAATAATTGTACTATCTACTAATATTAAAAATACTTTTACAACTTACAATATATTACACAAATGTCATTACCTTTATATCACACATACTAATAAGGTTATTTTAGTCATTTCTACTTTATTCCTACTATATCCCAATATAATACTTATATTTTTAAAACTACTTGCAAAAAACAAATGAATACTTACATCCGGACAGAGGGAGTAATATTTATCAAAAAATTTTCAGCTCTAAAAACATCAAATCAAACATCTATTTTTTTTTATAACATATTAAAAATTAATTTTTACATTCAAAATATCATATCAATACCTATTTATATACAATTATTAGAATTCGAAATTTTTACTATTTAAATTCCAATTCAAAATCCAAAACCCCAAACTAACACACCCTTAATACTTCTACAAAACAAAACAAACTAAATAATTCAATTCAATACTAATACGGTTGACGACTTATATTGAAATTGCATGCAACCGGACAGAGATAACAGGAGGGAAACAGCAACGATGGATTGTACCTATGATTAGAATACGAAAAGAAGTCAAAACTGAAGCAGAGTACAACCGAAGTCCGGGCGAGGGAAGGATCCAATTTTCTCTGTATATCGATTTGCAAACAAAAGTAAAGATTGATCGGATCTGCAAATCTTTTGTCAAGTTTGGTGTTCTTGCTCGATTGGCCGTGCTATTAAATAAATCGATTCGTCATGAGTTACCGGAGGTTTGTTGATACGTTTAAATTAATCCTTTCTTGAATTGCTCTGTTTCAATTTCGGAAGTTGAATCTCCCACCCTTTGATTGGTCACAATGTCGGTGGTTTGGAATTTTGTTCGTAGATTCGAAAATGTGGTTATGATGGGGGAATTGTGGGAAGGAAGAATTGCGATTGTTCTCGAATGATACGTTGGGGCGAGTCATCTGGTGATGATGATTACTTAGCTCAAATGAATGAGATTTTACGAACGAATGTCTTTCTGAATCTGATTGATCTTGGTTAGGATAGCACTATAGTTTTGCAGTAGTTTATGGTGTGGTAAGGGCAAAACCTAATCTGAATTTGTTAGGATTGACATGATGTTGTGCTTATAATTGACACATTTATGAAGAGATTGGGTTTTCATGCCTGGACGGATTAATGTTGGGGGAATCAATTGATTTGATCAAAGAATGATGGAATTGGATGATGGAAAGTCTTTTTCTGGATTAAGGTATTGTAAACGAAATGAGTTATTGCTGTAGTATTTTCAACAATGTTGTCGATTTCGTGTAATAAGCTTAGTGTGCTCGACTGGTTTGCAATGACCGGGGTTTGTTTTGATGCCGACTACATATATGTGTTGATAACTATACATTTTAATATCTGTTTGAGCTTTTAGCAATTGGGAGATAGAGGAGCTGAGATCATAGTATAGACAAGCATTTTCGGGCCCTAATTGGTTGGCGAGGAGTGACATCTTTCATTCAAAGATTTTGATTCATGCTCTTTTAGTATCAAAGAAATGAAATTGCTTTTCTATCCTAACATGATCGTGTGCTTTTTTCCTTAAATTTTGTTGTCTATGGACATAATTTCCCGGAGGAGTCGCAGGGTATAGCATAAATTTGGTTTAGTAGATTATTTTAGTCATTGATGTGCTAGCCCAATAATATCTTGTTGCTCGATTGTGGATGGCATGAGATAAACTTTATTTTGTGTGACTTTCTAGTTTCTACCAACAGTTTTATAATTATGAACAATGCTTACGCCTGTTGTGCTAGTCTCTTTACGTATGATTATATTGTTGCATATTCATTTTTAACTTATTATAAAACTTGTTTATACGCTGTATCGTTTAGCATTCATTTATTCTCATGGAGACATGTGCAAACAGGGATCATCGATCCTCAAGATCTGCACTTCTTGACGACCTCGGTAGCCTTGAGGAGGGCAGTATAAGATCTGCATCATATTCAAATGGTATTGATGATAACGACAATGAGAAAGCTATGGACACTTTGCATGATAGAGTCAGCTTTTTAAAAAGAGTAAGCTCCTGTCTGACTGAATTTTCACTCTGCTTTAGTCTATTATTTGCGATCCTAAATCATCTTAATGTGGCTAATACGAATGTCCTTTCCAAAGTCGGGTCTGAGATTCCCCGTTTCTTTAATCCAAAATGTCTGGTATATCATCTAACAAGACATGCTTATTGAAATATGGTGCTCCCTATAGTGGCGAGCATCAGTTACAGTTTGGGTCATGGTCCTAAGTATCTTTGTGTTTTCCGGGCGAAGGTGGGTTGCTTTGTATGATTCCATTGCAGCTTATATAAATTCCTCAATTTTAGAACTGCTGATAAGAGTTGTCGGTGGATTTCCATGTTGTATACGAGGGCAGACAAACATAGATTATGAAAACTGCCTATCACTGCCAGCTTGAACGACTATTTAATCCCAGGATGCGTTTGTACTTGTGTTGACTTAAATAGTTAGAAATGAATTGTATTATTTTGCATATAAATTATGATAATAGACGACGTGATATTTATGTAAGAACTTTGTTTAGATTTTAGAGATAAGGATTAGACAAATGTGCATGTAAACAGAATGAAATAAAATTTAAAGAGTACATTATAATTGAATCATTATTGAATTTGATATTCCTGCCATTTTCAAATGTGTTAGAAAGAAAAAAGGTTTGTTTATTTGAAAATGTATTTTGGTTAGTCCCAATGTTTTTAATCTCCTTTCAGTCAAGATAATTAGTGTACGATTGAAACTAGAAACTTGTTAACTTCTACATTTGGAGCTCTTGGGAAGGATACTCTTTGTGCGATTTCTACGTAATTGAAGTTTTTGTAACGTAAACTACATAGACAGCAAATCTCATCAACTACTACTTCAGTGATGAGAAGCAATATTACATAACTTACGCTTTTTGTAGCATCATTATAGCAGCAGTCATGTTATATAGTAATGCCATCTGAAATTTCTCGGTACCTGGACGCTGATTTTATTACATTTATATTGGTAAAAGCTGACAGGGGACATACATGAGGAGGTAGAGAGTCACAACCGTATGCTAGATCGAATGGTATGTGATTTCATGGTTTACACAAACAGTCATATTATTGTCTAAAAAGTTTCCTGCTTATATGGTTCCCTTTTACGTTACTCTAGGGCAATGCCATGGATTCCTCCCGAGGATTCTTGTCAGGAACAATCGATCGTTTCAAAATGGTACGTGCATATATATACATATATATATATATATATCAGCAAAGATGGCCCTTGAATTGTTTTCTTCTTGAATTTTTTTACCCTTGTGTGCGATATTGATTATTTTCTGTAGGTATTTGACAAGAAATCGAATAAGAGAACCTGCAAACTTGCAATGTATTTCGTGGTTGGTTTCTTTGTGCTGTACTTTATGATTAGGTAAGTGCTGTTTCTTCCATCTCCCATCGCTCTCATCTATATCGTATAATTGTTGGCATTCTTTATCTGAAAAACCTTTCCATTCAGCTCAAGGAAGTGAACTTTCATTTCTTCTTTCCCTGTGAAATTGTGTTTTCGACAGTCTTTTTGTACTTACGAAAAGAAATGCGCAAGAATGCTTTGAAAAATATATATGAAAGTTACTTAAAAACATTATATTCACAGTAGAGTTTTAGAAAAATGCAAAATTTGCAGGTGTATGATCTATATTCAGCATTACCATTATATTCGAAGGGCGAAGTATTTATTTGAATTACTTTTCTTGTTCTTTTTTCGAACTTACTGGATGCTGACACTCCTTAATGTTTGCAGGACACTCTTGTATTTCCTCTACGGTTAACATAAGATTACGGCACGTGCTGGGGGTGCATTTTGATCGAATTCTTGAAGATGAATCCAGAGGCGTACATAAATATTTCTTCGATGGAAATATGAATGATTGAAATCGCGCCTTATTTACGAAGGTGTTCTTTATGCGGCTTTCTGTGCCATCGGGGCTCGTCGAAATGCCTTTGTTCATTTCAAATTTAGTCCTCATAAGCATGTTTTTCTTGTACATTTCATGTACATTTTATAGCCAAAAAAGGTTCAGTTACAGTTAATTATTTATACGTATGTACACTTATAATAGTTTGTGTTGTGTTTATGAGAAGGGAGAGATGAATTTTGAAGTCATCCATCACCAATCACTAATAAGGTCATCTATAATCCATCAATTCTATTTATCTAGTTTTAACTCTAAAATTACAATTAAAATTTTTTAAAAAAATCTAAAATTGAAATTAAAAATTTAAAAAAATAAAATAAAATAGCAAGCTATGCTAAAAGAAGTGGCGCAACTGCACCAATATCGTTAATGGCGCTAGGTTTGAGATGGAAAATACTAAAATAAAGGATACAAATTTATTATAGATACAAAACTGAAACAAATGAAACAATGGGATTGTTAAGCATGATTTTTATTTAAATAATATTTTGATTGATATTTTATAAGAATAAAAATACTATATGTTTATTGAAAATAATATAATTTAAATAACGAAATAAAAAATCATATAAAGAAAAATACAAAACTACAATATTTTGTATGATTGATGATACTTCCGTCAGTAAAATTTTTATTCAATTTTTTTTTAGGTCATAAAATAACATTTTTATTTTTCAATAAAAATTATATCAATTTTGTATCTTTTTTTTACTATAAAAAATAACAATTATTATATATGTTTATTAAAATTCGTATCCAATCAGCATAGGCAAGGATGGAGGGAGGGATAAGTATTCGGTTGAACAAACTTTCAATTTTGAGCGATTTTTTGTTTGTAAAAATCAAAACCAAAACTGAACAAAAATTTGCAAAATCAAACTAAATTGAACCAAACTAGTTCGGTTCGGTTTAAAACCGAACAAACAAAAATTTTGAAATTCTTATATTGATGCTCGAACTCATTTGTTCAAATATTTAAAGATCAAAATTATAAAAAATATTTAATATAAAATATAAAATATATTTTTTAAAAAAAATTCAACTTTTTTTCTTTGAAAATTGAAAAACATAACCGAACCGAAACTTAAATTTATAAATTCGATTTTAAACCGAACCGAACCAATTAAGCGAACAGACCAAGCTGATATGTCTGAACGAAAAAAATTTGATTTTTTCGATTAGACCGGCCAATGCTCACCCCTAGATGGAGGGAGTAAAAAATGGAGGTGGTTTGTATGCTGATAAGAAATATCCCTCGTAATCGTATCATATTTATCATTTCCGTCATTCTCATTTAAAAGTATCAATTTTTTAGTTTAGTAAAATAATCATATACTAATACCAAAATATTATTAATTTTTACCTAAATTATTAATATATCATTGCACATACAATTAATTTATATATAAAGTCTAAGGGTAAAAATGTCAAAATCTCTTATACATTTTCACGAACTAATAAGATATTATTATTTTTTAATTTATTATAAAAATTCAAAAAACCCTTTTGAAGTGAGAAGACTGGAATATTATTGCCACGTCAAATTAAGGAGTCGATTTTACTGTGCCAGCCCGCCTAATGCGATGCTAAAACTTATATAATATAAATATAGAGCCAACATGCATAAATAAATATCTTTTTTCTTTTTATAAGTGTAGAAATATGAAACACATGTCGTGTCTGTACTCGCAATTAAAATGATTAGACCATTATAAATAAAACAAATGAATAAATAATTAATTAGGTGGTCTCAACCTCAAATATATCCCATCATGCATTGGGCAAGTTCTTCTCACCCAATCTAAAAAAATGTAGATTTAACATCACTAAATTGCTGAGTAAATAGAACAAATTTACACAAGTAAATACAATTTAAATAATTCACGTTCATAAAATTGATGATACATATGTTATAATTATCTTTTTGTTATTTTTAGACTGTTTAAAGATATGATGAGCCATTGAAGAAAAACTCTATCATACAACAAATAAGATTTGATTCATATATATATTTGTGATATTGGGCATTGCATAAATCCTTTTTTATTCTTTCAATATAAATGTTCTATTATTTAATATTGGCAGCAAGTAAAACCACCCATAAAAAATTGACATTATCAATATATCCATGAATATCATCAATAGCACGAGATAAGACAAATCAATCAACAGGAATATCTCTCGAGAAATAATATAAAAAGTATGATACAATCAGATAGACATCTAGCCCCAACATCAAAGACATAATCAATAAGGTTCAAATAATAGAAGTATGTCAATAAATTATATGGATAGCCGATATGTATCACCATTAACCACAGAACTATCCAGAGCTCGTGGTAACGAAGATAGACCTATCCAGAAGATCCATCCCGTATATAGTAGTGGAATTTGTGCACCCCAAGAATCACCCAAAGAAAACCCGAAAACTCTACTCCTTGCGCGTTATTCGTGATCGCGTTTGTAATTGACCAATGATTCTGAATTACCGGTAGACCCCATTAAGGATTAATCTAACGAGTGGACCAAAATTTGTACGATAATATTAGATAGGACTATAATTAACCAAATCTAATCTCTGAAAGACCCTGCGACACAAGTCAATCGGTTGTCCGACTAACAATTGTTATTGAAAAATGTAACGGTACATCAATATACGTACGTAAGATGATGTCATCGCCAAGCATGACCGTACATTGCAAAATACCTGTCAAAACGGGTTAGCCGGGCAGATTGGTCCATAATCCATCATAACTCGCAAATAAGTAGGTTGTTTGCGGGCCAACCCGTGGCGGGGCGGATCAAAATTTCATCAGCCTAACCCAACCCACAGGCGGGTGGCGAGCTAAGCGGACTAGCCCACGGGCTTTTTAAAAATATTAAAAAGATATTAATATTATAAATATTTTTGTAATTAATATTTAAAATATCTAAAAATAGTTTTTATTGTAGAGTTTAAATAATAAATAATTTAAAATAAATAACAAATATAAAAATTCTCAATTCTAAATATTATTAGTTGGTGTATTTAAAAAAATTAATAATAAGAAATATTTTAAAAATAAATCATAATTAATTTTATGAATATGTGAATAGATTCTAGAATTAAAAAAAATCAATAAAATAGAAGACGGACAAAACATATGATGAAAAATAGAAACAAAAAAGAGTGATTTTTTTTTATTGATTAATTTATTTAAGCGAATGATAATATAAATTTTATTTTATTCGTCTTAACTAAAAATATATCTTTTCAGTAGATTAAAAATAATAATATATTATTTATTAAATAAATATACAAAATAATTTTGATATTTTTTACTCTTTGTATGTTAGATTTGTAATTTATATAAAATTAAAATATATTTTGATATTAATATTTAATTACTTTTATCAATTTTTTTTAATATGACAGTAAAAAATGGTAAAAAAATATTAGTTGAGACATATGAGTATTAAAAGGGTGTTTGGAAAAAAGCTTTTTGAATAGCTTTTAGTTGTTTGACTGATCAAACGACTAATTTAGGAGCGTGTTTGGCACTTAGCTGATAACTGTTAGCTGTTAGCTGATTCAATTAGCTGATAGCCGTTAGTTGTTAGCTGATTCAATTAGCTGACTGTTAGTATATTCAATTAGTTGGTTTGACTAGTTGATTCGATTAGCTGTTTCTATTAAAATGTTTGGTAAAACAACTGTTTGATATTAGCTGTTTATACATAAAATGACAATTGAGGACATATATATATATTTTTAATATATTGAATTGTGTTATTTTGAGTTTAGAATGTTCGAAATTTTTTTCTTATTAGTTATTGAAAATTGTAAAAGTATTATAAAATAATATTATAGTTAGATTTAAAAAAGTAATAGTTTTATTATATTATATTTTTATTTTTATAATTTAAAATAATTAATTTATATATAAAAATTATTTTAATTGTAAAATATATAAATTTATTAAAATCAATACAAAATACAAAATATAAATATTAATAATTTATTTTTATATTAAAATTACACTATATAAATTTTATACTAAAAATAAATTAAATTTATTGAAAATTATAAATAAAATGAACTAATCGATTATTAACATAATAAATATATACACGAAAAATTTATTATTTTATATTTTACATCATTTTCAATAGAAAAGACTATTTATATTTTTCAATCAAAATATATTATTTTTTAAATATACCTATAATAAAAATAAATACTATTTTATAACACTTTTACAATTTTCAATAATTAATAGTAAAAATTTTAAACATTCTAAACTCAAAATAATACAATTGAATATATTAGAAAAAAATAAAATAGAAATATCCTTAACTATTATTTTACGTATAAAAAACTAATATCAAACAGTCGTTTTACCAAATATTTTAATACAAACAACTAATCGAGTTAGCCAGTCAAACCAGCTAATTGAATTAGCTAACAACTAACATCTATCAACCAAATACACCATAATTATTATATTTACGTGGCCCGCGGGCTAACCCACGTGGGTTGGCCTGTTTAGGCCCGCGTTTTAACGGACTTAAAAAAAATAACAACCCAACCCTCCTTAAAAGTGAGACAGGGCGGGCCAACTCGACAGACTCAACCCATTTTAACGGCTCTATTGCAAATAACAATAATATCCAAAAAGTCCACACATAGCAATAATATTATATGTATAAGATATAGAATCTACAAAATAAGAGCAATGAAAAATCAAGTGAATCACATTAATATGAATCCCTCAACAAAAGAGGTACAATATGTTTCGTATTTGATATTGAATCACGATTATACAATTATTAAGTTATCGAAATTATATTTTGAAGACAACAATTAAGTTGTGATTAGGTGTATGATATTCTCATATAATTATTTATCCGTTTCGGTAGGCGGATCAAACTAACATGCTCGATCAATATGAGACTACCAGTACATTGTTGTGATTGAGAGTTAGATATATTTGAAAGCAAAATACAGATCTTATTATTTTTTGGAGTTACTATGACTTCATTATCATGTAATATCAACTAAATTTTCCAATACATTCACTCTATGTAATTTAAATAAAATAAGTTCAAATTATAAACGTTACCATATAAGATGAGCTACTTGGTTATTCAAAAGAGCTACTAGCTTATTCAAATGATAAATTCTTAAACTCATCCGTTAGCTTC